CAAAAGCCAACTTGCGACCTCTGTCCTGCAAGTAGCAAGCTCTGTGCCGAAGAGCTAGGCAAGGAAGTGAATTGAACTGTTGACTCTGACCCACGAAGCTTGGGCCGGATTGACAGCATCTGTGCGCATTCCAGGCACCATACGCCACAAGGCCGGAACGAGCAAGGAAGCCTGCATCTCTCACAGAAGCTCCTACTCCCGACGTCGAGCAGCGGAAAGTCCAGGCCAGGGGCTACCACGACCTCTGCCCCTCAGCGCTTGTGCGAATTTGCCACGCCGATATAAACCACGAAGACGTGAATTCCCTGCACGGGGTGCTTGCGCACACCCTAAGACAAGCATTTCGGCCCGATAGTATTCTAGGCCGGGATGTTACAGTAGCCCACTGGTCATCCGGGTGCCGGGTGCCACCGGGAGAGTCCGGACCCTGCTGTTTGGGCCCATGAAAGTGCAGGGCAAGTGTCAAATCCTGAAAGCTTCAATATTGACTGTTGCTGAAAACTGACGTCTGACCCTGTGCATTGCCACAAATCTGTAGGGAAGAAGTCGGAAACGGCAGATTTGCTCTGCAGGGTTAAGGGCGAGCCTCAAACCTCTTCATGAAAACCGCAAAAAACTGTCTTCAGACGCTAACCTATACACCGCAAGGCCTCTATAGCCCAAATCCTCAACATTCCTCAACCCCGCACCATCCCAAACCACAAGCTCAGATGCCCTCTCAAGACTCTTAGCGCTGCTGCACAAGAAGCTCGAGTTCCAAGGAACTCCACAGTACTCGGGACGGAACGCGGCTTTTTCCTGCCAACCCCGTCCCTTTAGTAGCGCTTTTGACCGGGGTGTTTTTCCTGTCCTGCTCTGTGCAGACTCGTCGTGCTGACCCACGGAGATAGAACGACGGCATCCTTGCAAATTCCTGGCACCCTGACGCTGCAAGAAGAATGAGAAGCCTCCACAACGCCAGCCCTTTATCTTCTGAGGGCCTCAGTTGGTGAATCGCACGGGGCGCCTGGCCCCGGCACGTCATAACTGTGGGCTCGGTCACAAGCAAACAGTGGTTCTGTGGCCTGTGTCCTGGAAGCAGCTTGCTCTGCGCAGAAGCACAAGGCAAGCAAGAAAGCCGCGCTGATCCACCGAGACTGTGCCGGAATGATGTCACCCTTACACATTCCTGGCACCGGCAGGCTGCAGGCTGCCAGGCACGGTGGAAACAGCTGCAACGCCAGCTAGGAGCTGAGAGACCCGACTGAGTGCTCATCACGCACGGCGACAAGCCACGTATCAACCCACAAAGCCGGCCTCGGCCCCACGCAACAGCGGCTTCGGCTTTGCACCGAAACGCAACGCAAGGAAACACGCTGACATGATGACCCAAGGAGGTTGGTTTTGAGAGACAGCATCTTTGCACATTCCAGAACGCCTCGGGCAGGCATGCTCACCGAGCTAGCTGCCAGGAATGGCAGAAGCAGTTGCAATCCAAAAGGCTCCATGCCCATAGAGGTGAATTTGCAGATTCGCTGTGCAAGGTCACGGGCGAGCCTCGACCATGCCTCTGGCCCAAATCCTCCACGTTCCGCACCATCCCAAACCTGCTCGAAGGCCCTCGCAAGACTCTTAGGGCTGCTGCACAAGAAACTCGAGCTCCAAGCAACTCCACAGTGCGGGTGGCAGAGTGCGGCTTTTTCCTGCCAACCCCCTCCCTCTAGCGCTGTTGACTGCAGTGTTTTTCCTGGCCTGCTCCGCGCAGACGCGTCCCGCTGGCCCACGCCGATAGAACGATGGCATCCTTATAAAATTCCGACCTGGTTGTAATCGAAGCGGGGGTCGAGCGACATTGAACATGGCAGGCAATGCAACGAACCATCGGCCGCAACGATGACATGCGCGTCGCTTCATGCAAGGTCCAAAGGCCTGAGTAGGATCCGTGGCAGCTCCAGCGGTTTTGCGTCGCGCCGAGGCATCCTCGCTGCCAGGCACGGTGCAGTTAAGAAGGGTTCGGCAGCGCGAGCCAGAAGCTGAGAGACTCTGCGGGCGAATCGCGCGAGGCGAGAAGCTACATCAAGCGCATCAAGCCGGCCTCGGCCCCAAGCAAAAGCGGACTTGTGGCCTCTGTCCTGCAAGTAGCCAGCTCTGCACCGAAGCGCCAGGCAAGGAAGTGAATTGAACTCGTGACCCACGAAGCTTGGGCCGGACTGACAGCATCTGTGCGCATTCCAGGCACCATATGCCGCAGGGTCGGAACGAGCAAGGAAGCCTGCCACATCTCTCACCGAAGCTCCTACTCCCGACATCGAGCAATGGAAAGTCCAGGCCAGGGGCTACAATGACCTCTGCCCCTCAGCGCATGTGCGAATTTGCCAGGCCTCTAAAAACCACGAAGAAATGAATTCCGGAGAGCGGAAAACTGCACGGGTGCTTTGCTGAGGACGCCTATTGGACGGATCCAATGTGCAGGGCCTTTGTCTACTGCGTAAGGGGATGGTAAGGCTTTGGGCTCTGCAGCAGAACAAAAAGCTTTCTGACCCCCATCTTCTTGGACTTCCGGGTTATGTGCACATTCAGCTGCCACGCTGAGTGGAATGAGGTGCGGAAGCCTCGCCACGAAGTCGGCCTCGGCCCCAAGAAAAGCGGACTTGCGGCCTCTGCCCTGTTATCCTGCAGGGGTTCTTGCGCGTGCCCTAAGAGAGGAACTTCGGCCCGATGGTGCCCTAAGAAAGGAACTTCGGCCCGATGGTGTTCTAGGAGTTAACCCGCGGGTCATCCGGGCGCACCGGGAGAGCCAGGGTCCGGACCCTGCTGTTTGGGCCCATGAAAATGCAGGGCAAGTGTCAAATCCTGAAAGCTTCAATGTTGGCTGTTGCTAAAACTGACGTCTGACTCTGTGCATTGCCACAAATCTGTAGGGAAGGAGTCGGAAACTGCAGATTTGCTCGGCAGGGTCACGGACAAGCACGTTCTGATGCCTCTGGCCGCTTTGCGTGGAACCCTTAAACCCGAAGCCCCGAACTTCCGCAAGCCCCAGGGCACATCCTCGTACAAAAGCGGCATTAGCGTGACGAGCTGGAGGTGAGAAGGGCATTTTTTGGAAAAACAGACTGCCCCAGTGCATGGCGAACTACACTCCCCTGACGTGAGGCAACCAGCCACACCTAGCCACGAAGCCGCCTCTCCCTCAAGCGAGAGTGGCTTTGTGGCCGCTGCCCTGGAAGTAGCACGCTCAGCGCAGAAGCACAAGGCCAGCAAGCAAGCCGTGCAGACCCATGGAGTTTGCGCTGCAATGAAGACATCCTTGCACATTCCTCAAGCTGAAAGGCGCAGTGGGAACAGCTACAGCAGCCTGGGCTGAGCCAGCCAGGACCTGAGACACTCCATGGAGGGACATCGCACGACGAGGCATCAAGCCACGAAGTTCAGCCCCAAGCGCAAAACCGGAAATGTGACCTCAACCCACGCAGATTGGCCCGGGAACCCTGCATAGCAAGCTGCACAAGGGTGGCTCGGCCTGCAGTTTCATTGAGATGCACCGACAGTTCTTTGCAGGCACGCTCTGCAGCCAAACTTCCAGAGGCGCCTCCAGAGGCTCGGGAGCGTGGACCTGCAAGCTTCTGGCTGCCCTCGTATTAGCACGGTGTGCCCATGTGCTAAAGACAAGGGAAACCATAAGACAGGCCGCCTCGTCCTCCTCTTTGATCAACTTGGAAAGGATCTGCTGCACACACTGAAAAAGGAGAGGCTGGTGCGGTCCTCGGCACCGGCCACAGGCGTACTGTCTTGCTGCTACCTACTGCCACAAAGCCTTGCTATGCTCTCAGAATTGCAGACGACACCACGGAAAGAGCACCTGAAACTTCAACCAGGGGCCTGAGTGTTGACTCGTGATCTCGCTTTCGCCCACCCCAGCTTCAACCAACCCTAGGAAGCACTGAAAGTGCCGAATTTCCTAAAGAAGCCAACGACTGGCAGCCTGTCGGAAGAAGTAGAACTGACTGCACACCCGATAGCTCCGCACGTAACGACTTATGCTTGCCCCAAACCCTAAACCCTAAACCCTAAACCCTACACCCTAAACCCTAAACCCTACACCCTAAACCCTACACCCTACACCACAAACCCTAAACCCTAAACCCTAATTGCGCCCTACACCCTAAACCCTACACCACAAACCCTAAACCCTAAACCCTAATTACACCCTACACCCTAAACCCTAAGCCCTAAACTCGCAGCACAGGCCGAGCTTCGAAAGGCGGGTATGTGCATGGAAGATGGGTTCGTCCGCGACAACCTCGTGATGACCTTTGCAGATCCCCGATAAACAGGCTTTCGTTTGAGGGGGATTCGGGTTTAGTCGATTTTTTTGTTGCCACCCGGTTTAGGGGTTTAGGGGATTTAGAGGGGTTTTGAAAGTTTTGAAAGCCCTGGGGTTCACCCCGGGCATCAGATCTTGAGAGCAGTTGTGCCTGGAGCTGCCATGAGGCTCAACTTTGGGGGATTCTGGGGATTGGGAGATGGCATATGGGGAGGGAGGGGGAGAGAGAGAGAGAGAGAGAGCGGGAGGGAGGGAAACCCAGAATTTCGCGAGCGCAAACGAGAGCGCGATTTCAGTAGCAGGCTTCGAGAAAAACGCGGGGTCCCGGGCTAGGGTCGTTGCGCGGCTTCATCGCCCTAGCAAAACCTCACCCTGGGACACACATAACTACACACATGGCCGAAAAAGCCCATTCTTTATCCGAACTGGCGTCCTGAGTATCAGATATCTTCATTATAAGGCTTCGAGACTTCAAGGTTGAGGACTTGGGAGTTCAAGGATTTAGGGGGAGGAGATTGAGGACTGCTTGGCTGCCTGAGGTTTGGCTGGGGGTCCTCTATCATATATTTCGGTAAGAAAGCACCGCCAGTGCGGCCATTCACCAGACACTGATGCAAAGGCCGGCACACGCCTTCTTTCCGGAAACTTGGCTGACTGAACAAGGTGCTTGAGGGCATGAGCGGAATAGCCGCCTTAATCAGGTGACCCATTCTTCACCCGGCTCCAGCAGCGGGTACGCCTGGATGTCATGCATGGTGCCCATCAGTGTCTGCTCCCGTTCGTACCGCTGCATCAGCTCCCGGTGGTAGCGAAGAGCCTTGAGAAGAAGCGTCCAGGCTCGGAAACCAGAAGGGTAGAGTAGCATCTCCCCCTGAACCCCAACCAGCTAGACACAATCTAACATACCCCCAACCCTCTCAGCCCTTTCTACCCTGAACCCCCTCCCCCCCGCCCCCCAAAAAAAAAACAACACAGCAACACATTTTGAACCCTCAAAATCCTAAAAAACCCTATAAACCCCTTGGAACCCCACACAACCCATAAAACCTATAAAGCCAACAAAAACCCCCAAACACAACCCGCACTTCTAACTCTTTTTTGCAAAAAGAGCTCTAAAAGCCTCCAAGAAGATCTCCTCGCGCACCCCCGGCAAGTCGACTCTCCGCCGCAGGAACTCGAAGTCCCTCAGGTCCAGGGGGGCGCTCGAAGGCTCATCCTCGGGGCAGCAAGATGTTGTGGTTCCGGGGTTTAGGGTTTAGGGTTTGGGGTTTAGGGTTTTAGGGTTTTAGGGTTTAGGGTGGCAGCTTGCTTGTGGTTTATAAGGTTTATGGGGTTTATTTGTTTTTTTGCTATGGTTGTTTAGGGTTTGTTATATAAGGGTTTATGGGATTCATTAGGTTTGTTTAGGGTTTTATATAGGGTTTTTTGGGTTTGGGGTTTAGGGTCTAGGCTTTTTTTTTGTGGTTTGGGGTTTGAGGTTGTCTTGCTCGTGTGCGGTTGAGGGTGGAAGGTTCTCTTCGGGCACGGCAGTCCTCGGGACAGCGCAGCTCCCCGAAGAAGCTCCTTAGCTTCTGAGCTCTGGCCCTTCTTTTGGGGGGTCTTATTATGGAGGGTTTATAGGGTTTAGGGTTTAGGGTTCAGGGTTACGAAATAACTTCCTTGCCCCCAAACCATCCAAACCGCCAAGGGTCATGTTGAGGGCCTGTTCAGCTGTAGCCCGGTGCTCGGGGTTGAATTGGAGCAGGGCATCCTGGGCTGCTATAAGGACGAGTTGAGCTGCCCATAAAAGTATCTATGCGGAACGCAATAATTCGGCGGTTTTTTTTGGAAAAAGGGTACACAGTATATACTGCGGCTTCCTGAAGAAAAGAGGACATACGGTACATACCGCTGGCTTCCTAGTTCTGGCAACTAATAAGCACCCGGGATCCAGCAGCTCCATCGCCGAGGGCGAGGCGGCTCTGACGGCCTCGCTGAGCGCGCGGCTGGCGCCTGGGGACTGCGACTCTAGGAACTCCCGGGCTGTTGGGTTCTTGATCCAAGCGAAGGACGATGTTTCCCATGGACCCAGCATTTTCAAGATCAGCTGTAGGTGGTGCTGCATATTCTTCCCTGGAAACAGGGGCCGGCGGGCAAACATCTCGGCAAGGATAGCTCCTACAGACCAGGTGTCGATGGTGGGACCATGGACGCTGTAACTGTAATTATGACAGAGAGCCTCTGGTGCCCGATACCACCGGTTGCCAACAGCATATCCCTCGCTCTCCCCGGGCAGAAAAGCTTCGCCTGTCTCCCCGAAATCCACAATGGCATACCTGAAGTCGCTGATTCTCAAGTCACAGTTGGTGTTCACCAGCACGTTGCGCGGCTTCAAGTCAAGATGCATCACCCCGGCGGAGTGCATGAACTTCAGCCCGCGAAGCATCTGGTACGAAAAGAACTGGCAGTGCTGGTCGAGAAGCAGCTGTGAGCTCTTCAGGATACTAGCCAAGTCGGTTTCCATGAGGTCAGAGACTATGTACAAGTCACTGAAAGTCGACTTGATACCAGGCAGGAAGACGTACTGCAAGTTGAGGATGTTCTCAGGGCCCAGGTGCCTCAAAAGCCTGAGCTCCTTCAACGTCTCCCTCGCGTGCCGCAGGTCTTCAAGGGCTCCCTCCATCTTCTTAATCGCAACCAGACCACCGGTACTATCATCCCGGGCCGAGCAGGTCGTGCTATACGCACCTGCCGTCTTCAAAAATCCGCGATGCCCACCCCCGCTTCAGGCTTCCTAGCTTCCTCGACTCTCCAAAATCTCCGAACACAGAAGTGCAAGGGCTTCTGGGCTTAGCTGGCCCTAAACCCTAAACCCTAAACCCTAAACCCTAAACCCTGAACCCTGAACCCTAAACCCTAGGTTGCTGCTTTAGATAAGCTACCAGCATAATGAAGCCATAGTACTATCGCGTACCCATACTATGAAGGCCTCACTTCCGCTCTTTCATCAGCAACTCAGTCAGGGTTGAGGGTTCGGTTTGTAGCCCTAAACCCTAAACCCTAAACCCTAAACCCTAAACCCTAAACCCTAAACCCTAAACCCTAAACCCTAAACCCTAAACCCTAAACCCTAAACCCTACCTCGCGCCACCACCTCGAGGTCTGTGAAGCGGCCCGGTGTCTGGAAGGAGACGCCTCTTTCCTTCGAGGGGGCTCTTGTGTGGTTAAGGAGCATGGGGTAAAGGGTGTAGGGTTGAGGGTTCAGCATGGTTACTTCGCTAGATTATGCTCCCTTTCAGGGTTTCTATTATAACGAGGCCCCGAAATTTTTTTCGGGCACCCAAAAAGGGAGAATTATTTTGAGAACTGGACATCTATGGATGAATAGAAACATATGTGTTAAGGAGCATGTGGTAATCTACTATATTATAATGTGCCGAATCATGTCTGGAACAAGTTGCTACGGTTCCCTTGCTTATTCTGGGTGACTCACCACAAGCGCCAACCGAGTCAAGGCGTTTGTCATGGAACCATGGCCCTTGAGGAAACAAAACGACTCAGGGGGATGTCATATGTGGAGCCATATCATTCGAACTGTTATATCTTTGGGGCCTCTTGAATTCGATTGGGTTTTTTGGTGTAGTGCATACTTGTTGTGATTAATTCTGTGGGAATTCGACAGGGAGAGCATTGCTAACCATAAGGTGAACCTTGCAAAAAAAAAAAAACAACCTTTGGCATGCTACTCGGAGTCCAACCCTAAACAGCCTAAAGCGGGCTAATGTTGGTACCAGTAACCATTTTGGCTCCTGTAGGCTACAGAACCTTAAACAAACCCTAAACCCCAAACCCTTGCGAGTTTGGATCCCTTGCATCCTTGCTGAGCTGGAGGTCGAGCTCGAGAGACTGCAAAAGGTCTGCCTGCCTCTGCTGCAGCAGGAGCGCATCTCCATCCTCTGAGGCTTTTGAGCTGGGCTTAGGGCTCTAGGGTTTCGGCTAGGCCTTTAAGGGGGGCTGGAAAAGCCAGTGTTTGTGGAGAGCACCAGAAACATCGACTCCTAAACCCTAAACCCTAAACCCTAAACCCTAAACCCTAAACCCTAAACCCTAAACCCTAAACCCTAAACCAACATCAGCCCGTCCTTCAGGCCGGCTTCCTCCAGGGTTCCTTGGCACAAGGCCTCACCCGAAGCGGTCAGCAGAACCCCGGCGCCCAGTTGTAGAGAAGCCAGGGCCTGGGTTTAGGGTTTAGGGTTTAGGGTTTAGGGTTTAGGGTTTAGGGTTTAGGGCTTAGGGCTTAGGGTTTGGGGTTTGGGGTTGAGGGTCTATGGCTTAGGGCTTGGGGTTTAGGGTTTAGGGCCTGTTTTCGACCAGCGCTTAGGGTTTAAGTTCAGGGATTTGAGGGTTTCCGGGTGAGAGGGTTTAAGGGCTTTGACCAGCGGCTGAATGCCCAGGGTCTAGGGGTTTGGGGGCTGTACGGATTCACGGGTGTAAAGGGTTTAGGGATTCAGGAGTATAGCTAGACCCTAAACCCTAAACCCTAAACCCTAAACCCTAAACCCTAAACCCTAAACCCTAAACCCTAAACCCTAAACTGCCCTAAACCCTAAGGTTTAAAGTCTGGGGTTCCCCTTTTCATCGTTGCCGGCCTCTTGCTTAAACTCCTCAATGGAGCAGCTGGTCTCTCCTGGGCTGCAACTACGGACTTTAGAAGATGAAATTAGCACAGTCAGGCAAGTAAACTAACCTCAGAACCCATTCCTAAACCCTGTACCTTGAACCATAATTAAACACAAAAAGACTAAGACACAAAAAATCCAAAAACCTGAATAAACCCAAAACCCTACAAACCTGAGCCCTGAACCTGAGGAACCCCAGCCCAGTCTCTCGTGATCCTTGCCGTTCTGCCACTCAGAAGGCTGACATCGATGCAGACCACGGACATGGACGGCAAAATGTGGACCACACGAAGCTTGGGAAGCTAAAAAAGGGCTATGTCGGACCTAGGATTGTGGGGTTGAGGGTTGGGGGGTTCTTGTTTCGGGTTCAGGGTGCTTGGTGTTTGGGGGTATAGGGTTTAGGGCGGCTTCGTTGAGAAGCGGGCTTTGGACTTTGAGGGTAGTGCGTTTTGGGAGCGCTGTTCAGGTTTGGGGTTCGGGCTTAAGGGCAGTTTTGGCAGGTTGGGAGGCTGAGGCCCTCTTGGGGTTTGAGGGAGAGGGAGGGCGGGAGAGGGGGAAGTGCCAGTGCAACGTCTTTAGGGCACATGGTGTGAATAGAATCCGCTGAGCAAAAAGGTCTAGGAGAAGCGCTGGGTCCGTCGCTCGCACCAAATGCTGCCGGCGACCGACAGCTTGGGAGCTGGTAATCTGGCCGGAGAGGAGCGTTGGGTTCGGGTTTTAGGTTTTAGGGTTTAGGGATGTTTAGGGTTTAGGGTTTAGGGTTTTTTAGGGTTTAGGGTTTAGGGTGTGCTACCCTCCTAGCTGATCATCGCACTGCAGGGAAGACACATGTTCTTCGGTGAAGAAAAAAAACTAGGGGGTTCTGCGCTGCGAGAACAAAGTTACATCTTTGTTCGTCCCGGCCCTCCGTTTTAATGCCCGACAGCGAGAAGATGAGCATAACCCGAAATTAAGTAGAGGTTCTCCTGCAGTGGTCTTCGACTCTCACACTCGCACACGGCCGGCAAGGCATCGGTTGGTAGGTCCATGTCTGGGGGTTTAGGGTTTAGGTTTCTTTTCGCCACCCGCCTAGAGTCTAGCCACAGCACTGCTGGGTCTGACTGTCGGAAGTTTGGAGAAATCCTTCAGGCGTTGCGCGTTTCCGGGCGGCCAGCAGCCTGAAAAAGGACATGGTTACGATGACAATTCACCCGCCTAGGGTTTTGGGGTTTAGGGTTTTGGGGGCTACTTCCTGCCACCAGCCTCTGCTGAAATCCACCAGATCACAGGACCGCACTCGTTGATCTTCGAGCCGCCGCGGCTTTCATCGGCTGTCGTGGCTGCAAAGTCGTGTTTCAAAGGATGTCCGTCTGCAAATCTTGAGTTTCAACACAACAGTGCCGCGTTGGTTCCGAAACCGCAAGCCTGAAGTTGATGTAAAGTGCGATGTTGGTTCAGGGCTTTAGGCAACTGTTGCAGGGGTACATTTACAGGCCTGGGGGGGTCGTGTTCGACCTCAGATCACAACGACTTTCTTGCAGCAGGGCGGTCGTCAATCTCTCCGTCAGAGCAGCTTTGTGCACATGACGGAATTCTTAATTACATTGCCCCCAAGCATGTGCAGTACAGAAGGCCTGTCCTTTCAAGAAGGAAGCGTGAAACGCTCCGAGCAGCTCCTAAAGTGCCGTGTTTGGCAGCCCTTCATATGCCACTGAGCCCGGATGCCTGCAAGTCCTGCACGCCACTGCAGCAGCACCTGCAGCTGTAGCCAGAGCAAGCACCAAGCCAATCCATGCAAATCTTGGTGATCGAAGCTTTGTCAACGCCTCAGGGAGCTCGCTGTCCTGTATGAGCTCCTCCTTCAGGCAGTGCTTCAAGACCTTGCTTCCCTGTTTGTTCAGCAAAGAGTAGTCCATGATGTAGATGACGCTGGCGCAGAGGCTGGACTCACATGTCATGTCTGACGTCAGCTGGAAGTCGGGGTCGCAAGACTCGCACTTCTCGGTGACCAGGGGGCAGCCCATGACAGTGAGATTGGGGGCAGTTCCGTCTTGGCATGACGGCTCAGCTGCGCAGCCCAGGTCGTTTTCGTAGGGGATGCTTCCGGGCGGACATGGAGGTGTCTGAAAGGAATCAGCGCCCAAGAACATGCCATTTGTGTTTGCAGCCGATACATCCCAACAGCCCAAGAACTGGTCAAAAACCACGGCTTCACGGAACATCTGGCGCATATCGGTCACCTTGGACGTATCCCAGGAGCCGATTGGGGAGTTGAAGGAGGAGGCCCGAAAGAACATGCCTTCCATGAGTCTCACACGCGTGACGTCCCAAGAATCCAGGGGCTGGTTGAAGGATGTGGCACCTGCGAACATTGAACCCATGGAGTACACGAGGGACGTGTTCCAGGAGTCGAGGGGCTGGTCAAAGGCCAGGGCGAACCGAAACATTTGAGTCATATCGGTCACGCTTGAGACAGTCCAGCTGGCAAGCGGCTGGTTGAAGACATCGGCATTCTGGAACATGTATCTCATCGCGGTCACTTTGGAGGTATCCCAGGAGGCAATGGGTTGGTTAAAGGCGCGGGCGCTATCGAACACCCCGGTCATGTCGGTCACACTGGAGGTATCCCAGGACGCGATGGGCTGGTTGAAGGCCTTGGCACCTTCGAACATGTAGTACATCGTGGTGACCCCGGAAAAGTCCCAAGAGTCGATGGCTTGGTTGAAGGCATCGGTCGACTTAAACATGTAGTTCATGTTGGTCACGCTGGAGGTGTTCCAGGAACCGATGGGTTGGTTGAAGAACCTGGCGCCGTTGAACATGTTATCCATCCTGGTCACCCTGGAGGTGTCCCAGGTGCCGATGGGGTGGCTGAAGCTACTGGCGGACTGAAACATGCGATCCATCCGGGTCACGCGGGAGGTGTCCCAGGATTCAAGGGGTTGGTTGAAGTCCAGGGCGCCCGAAAACATGGAGTACATGTTGGTCACGCGGGAGGTATCCCAGGAGTCGATGGGTTGGTTGAAGTCTCTGGCGTCGTCGAACATACGATCCATCCTGGTCACGCTGGAAGTGTTCCACAAGCTGATGTTTTCATTGAAGGTGCGAAAAGGGAAACCAACAAACAGGCTTTGCATGTCGTTCACTTGGGAGACGTCCCACTCTTCGATCACCCCATACTTGGCAACAATAGCAGGGTCGCCTGTGCCGCCACGGCAGGGATGCTTTCAAGAAAAGAACCTCATGACACTAAACTCCCACCTAAAAACCGGAGCGATTTGGGGGTTTACGAGAATAGGGGACCCCCAAAATAGACCCCAACATAGTAGGATTCCCTTACAATAAGCACCCCAATAATATATCCCCACAAACCCCCATTTATGTTCTACGAGCTGAAGAGCTCCCCAACGGCTCCTGGCTGAGCCACCCAGTCCAAGAGGGCCTGTCGCAACTCCGCTCGGTCAGCGAAAGCTTCCAGAGCATTTCCTTGGCAACCCAGTGTGTGTTTGAATCAGGCTACCCTTCTTTTGAGGTTGTTCACTTTACAAGGGAACTCAAAATAACCCCCCCCCCCCCCCCCCCCCCCCCCCCCCCCCCCAAAAAAAAAAATGGCAACAGTGGCAAAAGGGTACAAATGGTGTACCACGTTTCCAAGGCCCACCCGGATCACAACCAGCAAGAGCCCACTCGGAGGCATGGCTTCTCTCGGAGCCCCTTCTTTTGCTACTAAGGAAAAGTGAAGACCATGACAAAAAATGGCTCACTCATTTGAAAATTCAGAAGATAACAAGCTGGGGGCCGAAAAAAACTTGGCTGGAGCATGGTTGGATCACAGTTTGGAGCTTCGGGTTCAGGTGTCGGCTTTGCCCAACTTCCAAACCCCGCCGGGGGTGTGTTAAGCGAAACTCGGAACATTGCGGCCAACTCGAGACCCAAAGGCAGACTTCGATTTCGAAGCCTCCATCGGGCCCACCGCTTTGCTTCAGCGCATGGGATAGGGGACAAGGCTTTAAGGTTTTGGGGCTAAGCGAGCCAAAGCAGGGTCCTGAGAACGGGATAGGGCTGAAGAAAAGCCTCGGCTTTTTAAGAGGCTTCATCGGGTTTCTATGGTAAGCTGGAGGAAGCTGGCTTAGGAGTTTTGGCTGACGGGCTTGGGGCTTAGGGTCATGGTTTAGGAACGAAAGTTGGGCTAGGGTTTCGTTTTCTGTCCTTTTTTTAGGTTTGAAGTGCGCCGGGGCACTTGCCTCAAGACACTGAGATAGAGTAGCGTTGGCAAATACGTCAGAGTTCAACTTTAAACCTTATAGATCCATAAACCCTCTACAAACGTCTTAAACCCTGCAACCAACCCCCTCGCCCTCCCCCACCACCACCCCCGCAGGAAAAGCTGCTCGTGGCCTGGAGAAGGTGTACAAGCCTGTCAAGACCTGAACCCAAGGAGTGCCATGCTGCCATTGCCCAATTCCTGGTCAGGGTGGACCCGCTGGAATTGTCGGGTAAAGTAGCATCCGGACAGTCAATCTTGGAGGGCGGTGTGGAGGCGAGGATACATGCCACTCCACGCCGCTGTTGCTGTTGCGGCGAGGCTAAGGAAACGATGGGCATCAGGAGCAACCTCCCCCAACGAAATGCCCGATGTCAGCAAGAGCCTGCAAGTTCAACAAATTGTGGGCAAGTTGATGCGGATGCGAAGCGTGTGTATGCAACCACGGATTTGTGGAGGACATGGGGCAATCCCCGACTAGATGCCGAGAAAGCAACAACTGGACTTTGCAAGATCAATCACCCAATGCTCTATGCTGCCCTAATTGGACCCTAAACCCTAAACTCTAAACCATAAACCCTAAACCTTCTTCACCATGTTGGGTTCAGCAGGTTGACGCCGATACTTCAAGCTATTTACCAGAAGTCGGTCCAGGATGCGATGTGAGTTTTTTTCACCAAATAACGGCCCAAATTCGGAATAGCAAGTCGGGAGTTCCGCATGTGAAACATAAACACACAATGGTGCTCCTGGAGTCTCGGCCCCCCTTGGCACTTGAAAGGCTCTGTACCCGAAATTTGCCTAAAGCCGCGCTGAAATGTGCACGAAAGTCCTAAACTCTAAAGCTTTTTCGGAACCGGCCAAAGCAAACCCTTTTGGAATTTCCTTATTAACACACCAGCCCCAACAAGCGCAAATTTTAAGAGGCCTGAAAACAAACAACGAAGATTTCGTGGGTGATTTGGAGGACTCATGAGCTTGGGGGCTTGGGGTTTAGGGCTCGAGTTCCCTTGTGGATGGGGTCCTTTTGCACATCAACACGGAAACAAACGGGGCTTGCCGAACATTAACTCTTGTTGGGGTTGCTGCCGTAGTATTTGTGGGAGCACATGACATGTTCTTAGGAAACTCGCGTGTGATGGCAAACGAATCTCTCGGACCCGAAACGCCTTCGGCGGGCTGATAAACCCCAGGAGTCACGTGCAATCAGGCGCGGCAAGTATTTTGCCGGCCTGCGTGCGAAGGGGATGTGGAGTAGCGCGGGGACATGAGTAGAAGCTTGGGGCTTGGAAAGGTGCGTAGGGAACGATGAATATCTCTGGAAGCAAGAAACACAGAAAGTCGACAGAAGCCATTACTTGCACGGGCAATCAGGAGCAATGGCAGCAATCCAGCCATGCCTCCTGCTGAATTAACCCATGCTGTCTGTTTCTCACATCTGTAGTGAAGTGAGCCACGGTTGTTCAATGATGCTTGAGCATTGGCTTGAAGACCTTAGCGATGCCCCCCGACCAGCACAGCCAGATCCACTTGGTCCAATGGCCCGCACTTGCATGTTCCCCCTTCTACTCAGAGTCCTGAATAGGGATTATATGAGGGGGTACGTTTATCACTCTAATCCCTTTTTAGGCCTGCTAGAATTAGGAACATCCCAAGGCCCACATCTAGCGTCTCTAGTTGGCACAAGGCAAAGAACACTTAGCTCCCGGCCCAGCAGCTCAAAAAAGTCGTGAAATCAATGAGCGTTTGCGACGACTGCTCCCTCAAGTGCGAGAGGTATCAGCCACAGGTCTGAACACGGTAGAAGCGATAACTTTTGGGACAAGCTGGACATTGGTGTCATGTGCAGGGCTGGCAGACTCAGCATTTGAGGTTTTTTAACCTAACGCTCACTTGTCACCTTAAGCCACGCTAGCCGTCGGCTCTCCAACGTGCCGCAGCGCGCCTGATTCCCGCTGAGCTTGGGCTTCTACGTCGCGCGCCTGGCGTCGGAGTGCCCTCTGTGTGTGTGTGTGTGTGTGTGTGTGTGTGTGTGTGTGTGTTGCATCGGGGGCTTGATGTGATTCGAGGTGACAGGAAGTCCCTTCTGGTGATGGTGGTGACGGTAGATGGTGAGAGGTCAAGATGAGGCAAGAGGCTCATCTTGCCCTGTGCTGTAAGCGCCTCTGGGACTTGGGGGCTCCCAAGTTTTGAGCCCGCATCCGCGAGGGTTCCTGTAAGATGGGCCCTTGGTCTCAGCGCCGGTTCAGAGGCTTCACTTTTCGATGTCGAAGCCCTGCATGAAGTCCGAACAAAGCCTACGCTTAAGACCAGCAAGAAAGCTAATTCTCCGTAACCCATGACCTTGTACCCTAAACCCTAAACCCTAAACCCTAAACCCTAAACCCAAGAAGCCCACTTGCGGCCTGTGAGTCCACGACGCCGTACTGCTGGCGCGCGTAAGCTGCCAGGGGACGTCTGGGCCTTTGGTGCCGTCTTTGAGGTGTTTAGGGTTTAGGTTTAGGGTTTAGGGTTTAGGGTTTAGGGTCTATAGAGTTTAGGGCTTACAGGGTTTAGGGCACAGGGTTGTGCAGGCTTCAAGATGGGGGTTGACGATGGTTGCAGGAACTATTGTGGGTTCTTGGGCATTTGGTGGTCGCGTCGCGTCTCGGACAGCATGTTGCGGCTTTTTCTGGGTGGGACGTCGAGTCTTATGTAGAAGTTTACGAGGTTTACGTAAGAACGAGAATGAGAGACTCTTGAAAGGCATGCCAAGGCATGCCCACTTGGATTCGGCGAAGTGGCTTTCATGGCCGACGGGTTGAGGTGTCTCAGGCAACAAGGCGTGGCTTAAAACCCCTCACCTCAATCCTAAACCCTAAACCCTAAACCCTAAACAACCCCTCTTGATAATTGCCCACTCGCCCCCGGCCCCCTGTGTGATTTCCGCACCTTTTTCGAAAACATTGCTCGTCCAGGATTGTCAAGTCGGAGCTCGGATAGCTCGGGACCGCAAAGAGCTAACCCTAAACCCTAAACCCTACGTAAACCCTAAACCCTAAACCCTACACCCTAAACTAACGTTCTAGTGCAGCACATAGGAGCCATCCTGGCATTGCAGAAGGCCCGCAGTCTATTGGCAACAAGTCCTCTGGTGGTGGAAAGTGGGGTACTCTGCTCGGCTTTGAAAAGTGCTTTTCTGTACACACATTCATACAAAATAAACATACATAAATAGTGTGTATATATATATATATGTATGTATGTATTTTCTTACTTATTTCAGTACGCACATTACGTATACTTCTTTATTTGTCCGTTCAAAACATAAGCCACAAGTCATATGTGTGTACTCAGTAGTCATATATAATTTTCCCACACCTGACCAGACTTCTTTAGTCCAGGAATCAATGCACAAAGAAAAAGGAAGGCGAGCTCAGGGCCATCACAGGCATCTGCTTTTTTTCCGAGACGGGGCGGGGGTCGGGGGGGGGGAGGGGGGGGGTATAGCAGCCCCCCAAAATCTTGTTTTTGTAGCAGTAGCAGCCTTGGGGTAGACTCGTGTACAAGAAAGTTCAAATTGGGGTGGTGCGGCTCATGGAAATCATGATCTCTCTATCGGAGCTGGCCTCTATGAGGTACCCCACCATGGCGAGGCATTGTTTCAATGCCTGGCCATCCTACTCCAGCTGCGCTCTCAGGCGGTCTTCACGCACTTCTTCAACGTTGAGTCGTAGCCTGCGTCCAGATGTGCCGAGCATGCTGCAAGAAGCCACATGTGCTATATGAGGGTAAGAAACCAGAACCCCAAAGAGGGGGGTGACAGCTCAGGGTTCAACGGACTTGGGCTCTCCTACCTGTGGATGGCTTGGAGACTTCCGCCTGCAACTACCCGGCCACTGAAGTATTCCACAGAGGTTACGTGTGGCGTGGTGAGGTTCAAACTTCTGGGGCTCAGATGCCGCTGAGCTGCAGTAGTGCTTCTTGCACTTGCACTTGTAGCTCCCCATTCCATTCGTCATGCCATCGCAGTCCACCTTTCCTGGCCACATATATACACGAATGTACACCCAAAAAGTCTCTTCTGAACGGAGCCCCTGTTTCAAATGCGGGTTTTTAGGGCTCGGGGCTCTAAAGCTGCGTGCTCGTCCTGCCTGCTTTTTTTTTGTGATGCAAGCAACCAGTCTGTGGTGTGAAAGTTAGTGCTTTCGAAATCGCCTGCACACTGCAATCAATGCAGATACCAGATCCCGCCAAGGAGCCAAGGTTGGAATCGCAGCTCGACCATCGGCAGGAAGTGCCTGCGTTGCGCCAGTCTTAGATGTCGTGTTGAAGGTTCTAGGCCTGTGCCCACGCATGCCCAACGGAACAACGCAGACTAGACCCAAGAGTAGCCTAGGGAAAAACCAGGGTGCCCTTTTTGGCTTTCAAGGGGCTTCGAAGGGAACCTAAGCCCGCAAAAAAAGGGAGTAAGAAGAGCGCACCTGTGTCGGAGCTTTTGCAGGTGGCTGTCGAAGTCGTTGAGCTGCAAGGAGCGACAGACAAGGGTTTAGGCGTTTGGGGGTTTGGGGTTTTTGTTTTCCTTCCTGGGGTTTAGGGTTTAGGAGGGTTTAGGGTTTAGGGTTTAGGGTTTAGGGTGTTTTTTTTGCCACCCGATTCGCTGACCTCGCGGACACTCTGCAGGTAAATGTCTATGTCAAGTCAGTTCTTTCGTCCCCTTCAGAGTCTGCATAAACCACCAAAACCCAGGGTTTAGGGTTTAGGGTTCATTTAGGGTTGTGGCGCCCCTGAACCCCTAAGGTCTGAGAGGGGGATTTGTGGGTTGTTTTTTTTTTTAGCCTGCTGGGTTCATGTCACATGTTTATTGGATATGAGAGTGGCGTCGAGGTCATGCTCTGTTCGAAATATCACAAGGAAGAAAGACAAACAGACAAAGAGAGAGAAAGAGAGAAAGAGAGAAAGAGAACTCCTGAATGTGTCCGCACCTGGGTGGCGGCGGGAGCAGGGTCGACGCCTTCACACATTTGCCCTTGTGGGCGCAGTAGCCCTTCGACTTGCTACCTGAAAGGGCACCAGAAGGCTGATATGGGCTGTTTGGGGAGCTCAGTTCGGGAGCTCAGGGCCGGAAACCGTATGCATCCTAGAAGCCGGAAAACCCTACACCCTCTGAACTCCAAAGTGCATGCAAGGTGCAAAGGCACTTTCCGCTCTTGCAGGTCGTTTTCCCACGGCTTGAGCTGCATCCCCACCTTGGTGCTGGGAATCCACTCAGTAAGGGGTAGAAGGAGGGACCCCTAGAAGGGACCCTCAATCATATATGTATATATATATATATATAATATATATATATATATATATATACCTTATATAGTCCCTATATGTACCTAAGTAGCCCCCAAATATCCCCCTATATCACCCCTAAGCTCCCTTAAAGGGCCCCTCCTTTTGTTCCTTGAACTCAATTCTAAGGGGCCCGGATTGGCTTTGCAACTCCTATGCGTAGACCTTTGCCTTGGCTTCTTCCTCACTTTTTCCTCACGAACCCTACGAGATTCATGCTGCTCCTACATTCCCAAGAAGCTATGGACATAACCCGAGCGGCTCTTAGCAAAGAATTCTACAATTCCCTATTTCCCTGTCAAGAAAGTATATGAAGAAAGAGCATTCAAGTCACATGGAGCACTTGCCACCGGTGTCCTGGTCAAAAAGCCACGGGACAAACCGACACTCAGAGGTCCAGGCACTTGGACACTCCAAAATGGCATTTGCGGGGCTAAATGAAGACCTGTGTAGTTCCGTGTCCCAGAAGTGTTGTCTCGGTCCCGACACGTGATTGATCGACCACTCAAACAGCCAGACAGGGAGACGCTCAGACTCAAAAGCTGCTTCCGTTCTTTTGGTTAGGAAAGGGCACCAAAAGTGGTGTGTAAATCCCGGTCCTAAGTTTGCGTGTTTGCAGCGTGGAACCGTGGAAACGGGTAGGGGATCAACAAAAAAATTATTTGGGATCTAAGAAGTAATTTATTTCTAGGCGGATCAAAAAAACTTATTTGGGATCAAAAAATAATTTACTGAAGGCTTCGAAGGCTTCTTGCACGCGGAGCGGAGGCTGTAAACGCTACTGAAAATAGCAGCATTTCTGCAGATATTGTATATAGCAGCAGTTCTGCGCTTTCAGAGGCTGGAAATACTGTACACTGCAGCATTTCTGAGTTTCCAGAGGCTGCAAATACTGAAAATAGCAGCATTTCTGCGAATTCAGAGGCTGGAAATACTGTAAATAGCAGCATTTCTGAGTTTGCAGAGGCTGCAAGTCAATGCTGGCATCTTGGCATTAGAAGTTTCAAAAAAATGCATCTACTCTGAAGCATGTATATTCTGGCATAGTATTGTGGAAAGTCTTGTATAATATTGTATGACATTGAATATTCTTGCATATTATTGTACATTGTTGTATATATTGTTGAGTATTTCTGTATTGTCTTGTATTTTCTTGTGTTTTTGTGGAATATTCCATATTATTGCATGTTATTGAATGCTATTTTCAAAATTCTTGTATATTCTTGAATTTTCTTTGTATATTATTGCAGATTATTCTATATTATAGTATATTATTGTATATTCTTGTATATTCTTGTATATTCTTGTATATTATTGTCTACTAGTGTATATTATTGTAGTTTTCGTACACTATTATATATTGTTGTATGTCATTGTGTTTTTGTGTTTTCTATATAGCTGTACATTTTTTGTATCTTTTTGAAAAATTGTATGATATTGTATATTTTTGTATACTTTTGTATAGTATTGTATATTGTTGTCTATTATTGAGTATTCTTGTCAACTACTGAAAATTATTGTAAGTTACTCTTTTTTTACGTGTATATTGCTGCATATTCTTGTACATATTTGTATATTGTTGTATTTTTGTGCATTATTGTATATTATTGCATCTTTTTGTAATACATTCTTGTATACCATTGCATCTTATTGTGCCTTCATGTTTTTTTGCAAAAAGTGCTCGCATCATGGGATTGGAAGGATTCATGTGCTTTGAAGCAAGCTTGCCCGGACTAAGAAAACAGCGCCGGGGGGGGGGTTGGGGGGGGCCCCCCCCCCCCCCATTTGCAAACACAACGCTCGCATCATTGGTTTGGAAAAGATATTCATACGCTGCTTGCCCGGCTTTAAACAACAATGCTCGCATCATGGGTTTGGAAGGGTTCATACGCGTTGAAGAAGCTTGCCCGGTGCCAAACAAACAAGAAATATGTATTGTGTATTATGAATTCTACATCAAATAGCAGTAAATATATAATATATACATATATGCTTTGTTATTTCGATTTTATTATAGTTTTGATACAAAGGCATACTATACGATATTGTGTTCTATTCTACTCTATGCCACTACAATATTTTGCTATACTTTGTTTTAATATATACACACATATATATTATAACATATGATGTTATGTTATGTTTTCCTACATATCCTTTCCTGTACTTTCATTTCCTTTCCTTCCCTTCCTTCCTTCCTTCCTCGCTTCCTTGCTTCCTTGCTTCCTTGCTTCCTTGCTTGCTTGCTTCCCTCCTTCCTTCCTTCCTTCCTGCCTTCCTTCCTTCCTTCCGTCCTTCCGCCCTTCCGCCCTTCCTTCCCTCCCTCCCTCCCTCCTTTTCTCCCTCCCTCCCTCCCTCCCCTTCCCTCTCTCCGTCGGAAGAACAGAATAATTATTTCTTGATCCTAAATAAATTTTTTTTGATCCTAAATAAATTATTTTTTGATCCGCATCCCGTGGAAACGCCCTGTGTGCGATCCCTAAATCTCAGTTGGAAACCTCTCAATGTAGGAACTAGGGCCAGTTAGAGCGTTTTGTCCGTCGAGGGGTTGAGGGGTGTGTAACTCTAGAACCCAAGACCCCACGATCCTCCTCGCACGTTGCGTTAATCGTTGCTGGTGTCACTGGTGTCACCGGTGTCACTGGCCCTGGCCGCGGTGTGGTTGCCAGCCAGGGCGTGGGCCCCGTTGGAGGAGGAGGCGTAGTCCTGACAGGTAATGCCTTGAGGGTTGAAGGCTACAGGGCTTTGACAAAAGAAGACTGCTAATACTTACCACCACCACCACCACTACCACGTCACTTCCACGATGACCAGCACAACACCACAACGACCGCTAAATGGTGGTGGTGGTGGTGGTGGTGGTGGTGGTGGTGGTCGCGCTACTACTTCTACTACTACTACTACTACTACGACGACGACGACTACTACTACTACACCTGCCACTACTACTTCTACTACAGTACTCCAACTCCTGCTTCTACTGCTCGTTGTGCTGTCAATATCTCTGGAGTTGCAATATTGCGATTGGAACGGTATCGGAACACATGATGGCACTGTTAAGGCTTGAGGGTGTCGAGTCTGCGATGCACAAATCTAGGATCGGAGGGTGTTGGGTTTAGGGGATGTGCCTGAATGAGATGATCGAAGCTATACATCTGGTGCATACTGAATGGCAAGCGTCACAGAGACGTCGGAGTGCGCTGTTCCGGATCCATGTTGATACCTTAGCCGTGGTTGGCGGTGGGGTTCCTGGCTATATGCTTCTGGTTCAAGGTTTGATCTACCCATTCTGAGCACCAAATTGCTGTTACGAAAATTAAGCGAGTCTAGTTGCGGAGAGTCTAAAGTGGGCAGTTGCCCCTCGCCTCAGACTGTTAATCCGAGGCTTGGCTACAGTAATTAACTTCCCGTAGCTGTCCTTTTGTAGAGGCCTCAAGCCAGTTGCTCCTAGCTTTCAGCTCCCAGCTTGCCAGGGCTCAGGTTCAGGGGCTCTATGTACAGAAACCTAATCCGAAGCCCTCAGCCCTACAAGCCGACCCCCTAATAAACCGCGATAAGCCTCTGCAAGCCACTATGCAACTTGGGCCCTACAAGCACTAAATCTCTAAGCCCTAGATCCCTAGAAGCCCTAGAGGCCGAAGGCCCCCAAAGCTGAAAACGCCAGAGAAGCAATGCGCGGGTTTCGGGTCAGCACATTCTTGTTTCAACCCAGACTTCTCTCCTCTCAACCCTACACCCTCAACTAGGGTTGCACCCTCAACTAGGGTTTTCAACCTTCGGTCAGTGGACGGTGGCGGCGCTGGGCCAGGGCTCGGCTGACAACTGCTGGCACAAAGCCTGACGGATTCGGGCTTTAGGGTGGTACCGGGGCAGGGACTAGGTGAGGCTTTTGGCGGGAGAGAGGGGGTTGGGACAGTCGTGGACACACCAACAGGCTTTTGGTTCCTAGCCGAAAGACGACCAGGAATGTGCTGTGGCAATGGTCCTTGCCACGCACGTAGGTTGAACGAACCGAGGGGCAAGGGGTTTGCTATCAATTTGGGAGTTGCGAAAATCACGGATACATGCTTGAGCTCTTGGGTCCAGATAAGAAGGCTACCCTCATTTTCGGGTGCTTGGGGCTGTGGCGCGGGGATTTGGGTAATGGGCTGTTGGCTGAGTTGGCTGAGTTATTTGCAACAAAGATTCCGGGGGCTCTCCCCCTTTGCAATGAAGTGCCTGCAATACGGGTCCCATGCATAGGTGGCATGTCTGAAAGTTCCTGTGCGCAGAAGTCGGAAGAGCTTCTGAGCTCTCCTTCATTCCGTGATCTCCAAGTCATGTCGCAGAATGTTAGCAGCCATGAGCTGGCTTGTCAGCCGGCCCCTCTGTGCTCTGCAAAGCACTGTAAGAGGACATTTGAACGATTTTGTTCGTGTGTGGATTTGGGCATTCCAGTCCTCCGCAATCTGCTCACCCGAGCTCTTTGAGACCCAAAGTTATTCTCCAAAGCTTTGGGATCTCAGGCCACTGGCTGCTCAAAACGCAAGTCCGCTCAGCGACTACATGCCCGAGGCCCGAAAGGAATGTCACAAGGTACAGGGCTGCCAAAATGCAGAATGGGAGTCTGGAGTCGATTTCTTGGGTTGTCTGTCAGAATTACCCCGTCAACCTTGTCAGCCTGACTTGCCTCATGCCCTGTCTCGGCACTCGGGAAGAGAAGGCTTTCTGACTCTTTGATGGAACTGCACTGACCTTCTGCGACAGGAGGCGCTGCAAAAACACAATGCTGAGGTTCTGGCTTCTTGCTGGCCATATAGAATGGCGTCGGCGGCCTCCGCACAACGAGGACAAGGCTTAGGGCATATATTCTCTCCGCCAACCCTAAACTCTAAACCCTGAACCTTTTGGTGCTCACAGGCCCAAGTCTGCAGACAAGCGACGGGCACTGCAAGTATTTTCCTTAGAGGCAGCATGGAAGCAGCTGGCAGAGTTGCCATTGACGGGTACTCTTTATCTTCTACATCGCCTCACCATGGAAACTTTCTGGTTCATGGTTAGGATCGTATAAAAAATGTGAATGTCTATTCCTTATTGAGTTTAAGTACCCTTAAACATGTAAGATGTTGCGCCACCCCCCCCCCCCCCCCCATGACAAAGTCAAAAACCAGACGAACCATTCTGCCGAAGCACCTGAGATGACGCATGCCCGCTTTGAGCAGTCAGGGCACAAACCTGGGCCAAGTGCAAGCCCCTCATGACCCTCAACTTCACCCACTCTTCTTCCGTGTGAAGTCACTCAGTTTCGCGATTCAAGAGAGCCTTTGCGGGGATTTATGGATGCTTCTGCGCTATTGACCGCAAGTGGCTCACAGGTCAGCTGGCAAGCTCGTACTTGCTTTCGTCCTTGCTTCCAGTGTCTTTCTGGGCTTCTTTGGTGACATCTCCCGTGGGTAGCCCGCAAGACTCACTGTAACCAGAAGCACCAACAGGTGCCAGAACATGCAGTGGCTGCCGGGGGAAGTGGGTTGAACCCGCCCTTGTCTCTCTCTCTCTCTCTCTCTCTGGTCATCTTTCTCACTTCCTCCCTGCCTGTGCCCCTCTCACAGTCGGTTTCCACCTCTCGACACGCTGCTCACTTGCCACTCCATTCATGCGGTGGATCGAAGGCAAGATGCTGCATGTAGACAGAACTGGAGAAGGGTCTTGGCAAACATTTGATTTGACCTCGGCGTGGGCACCCGCAACTACTACTACAGACACTTCTGGCAGTTGTAGACCCATTTGAATATTGATCCGATGATACATGGACGTATCTTCGTGGCATACTTCTTGTGGGTAGTTGTTTTGGTTTGTTTTGGGGTTTGGGATTAGGGTTCAGAAGTCTAATGGAATCATATCGCTAGTCATGTCGTGCCTATCATTCGCAGGATGCCGGACGCCCTGGGTGCTTCGATAGCTCTAGGGATGAAGGCTTCCTGGGTTTATTGGGTTTTAGAACCGGTTTTGAGGATTTTTGTGGTTCAAGGCGACATCCCTGACTGTTGCGCGGCTTACAACATCACACCCATCTGAACCCATGTCGTCGAGAACATGACTGCCCCCTAACCTCCTAAGCCCCGTATCTGTAAACCCTAAACCCTGAACGTGGAGAGGGCTTTTTCAGGGTTGTGGGGCTTGTGCACTGCAACCCAAGAAACGCATTTGCAGTGAGCTTCGGAGAAGTATGGCCTGAGCTGTTGAGGGTGCAGGGCTCCGACTCTCGCACTCTCGTGCGGCGGGCTCGAGGGACTATAGGGTTTCGAGCTTCCGTTTTAGGTGCTTATGGACGTCTAATCAGGTTGAAAGCTCAAAAGTTTGGTGCTCAGGGTCTGGAGGTGAAGGCTCAGACTTCTAGCTTTGCGGTGCAACTCTTTGAAGTTCAGCATCAAAGGATTAAGGTGTAGGGCTTCATGAATTACAGCGTTGGATATGCAGTTGTTTTTCGCAACCTCGTTCATCTAATGCTGATATACCAGGTACTCATTCCTGAGGAAAAATGTTTCGTTCAGCAGTTTACATAAGTATCACCATATTGAACCTCATGGAATTGGTGATGAAAGCTGCTATCTGCGCAGAACCTCCGTTTCAGGGTTAGCTTTTGGTTGAGGTCCTGCCAAGCCCCTCCGAGAAGCAATCAGTAGGAACTAAGAAGGTGTTGTAGGACTTGTGTCTGCCTGCCCAGACAGGGTTCCCCGTAGGCTCAACATAGCCCAAAAGACTTACAAACGAAGGCCTTTGGGCAGACAAACCTTAAACCTTAGAGCCTCAGGGTTCTGGTACAGGATGCAATGTTGGTGCATCTCGGAACATTGCCGATAAAAGAAGGGGTTTAGGATGTAATAGTACCAAGGATCCGTCACAACTCGGGGCCTCCCTGTGAACTTTTGTCTGTTCATGACTTATCGAGCTGGGGCTTCCCTCCTTGTAGGGGTTTTGGAGTTTAAACACGCTGGGTTTCGGAGGGCTTAAGGTCTCCGGAATTCTTGGCACAAGTCGCAAGTCAAGAGGCGATGGACGCCTAAACCCTAAACCTTACACCCCTGAAACTGGTGTGGCAAAGGCACGCACTTGGAGGACAGCTGGTCCAAGCGCCCTTGCCGGAGTAGTCCAGCGTGCACTGGTTCCTTGGTTTCAGACAGGGTTTAGGGTTTTTTGGGGTTCAGGGTTTAGGGTTGAAGGGGTCCGAGCCCCTTGCCAGGGCTTCATATTTGGAGGTTCATGGTACTTACTAACCACTTATAACTGGGCTTATAACCCTACTTATGATTGGGATGACCCCTATAAGGCCTTTTCGGGGTATTATAAGTAGGGTTATAAGTACAGTTATAATTGGTTAGTAAGTAGCATGAACCTCCAAGTAAAGGCTTAAGTTGTTGTTTTGCGGGATCAGAACTTTAGGGCCTCCGGGTTTGACATGGTTTGACTTTAGGGGCTTGTAGGGTTAAGCTTAAGAACGCTCGCACGCCGGCAGGCAAGGCTTAGGGTTCTTTGCCACCCGCCAATCAGACCAGCCGCTTGGGGTTTGGGATTCTGGGTTGAATCCTAACCCTAAGCCCTAAGCCCTAAGCCCTAAGCCCTAAGCCCTAAGCCCTAAGCCCTAAGCCCTAAGCCCTAAGCCCTAAGCCCTAAACCCTAAACCCTAGGCAGAACGAAAACTGCAAACCTTAACTTGCATCATGTGGAGTGCTCAGGCCGCGTCGGGTTGCAAAGGACGCATCGTGCACTCTTCGCCTGCGACCACGTGGGGGTTTACGGTGAAGGGCGCAAGCCTCACATCACCCCTGAATCAACAGACTAAAGGGACTATCTAAGGTGTATATATATATATATATAATATAGATATATACATATATATATATATATACATATGGGTTATATAGGGCCATAAGATTAAGGGTCCCCTTCTAGGGGTCCCTCCTTAGGCCCCTGAGCTGAACCACCGTCAACCTAAAGTCGCACCCTAAACCCCAGACCCTACGACGGAACTGGCTTCAGAAAACCCTGGAAAGTAGTAGCAGCAACAAGGATAGAGGTAATAGTCATAGCAATTTTACCACTTCATAACAAGTACTTGCCTTTTGCGCAGGCGGGCTGTCTGCCTGTTTTTGTTTTTTTTTTACGTTCTTGGGTTCCTAAGCCAAGCCTTGGGTTCAGAGTGCAAACGTGCCTAACCCTAAACCCTAAACCCTAAACCCTAAACCCTAAACCCTAAACTCTAAATCCTAAATCCTAAACCCTAAACCCTAAACCATCTAAACCCTAAACCCTTCAGATTGGGTCTTTTGGTTTAGGGTATCGACTCCCCGTCTCCCTTGAAAAGAAGGTACTCACAGGATCTCGGTCGGCTCTGGAGCATGTGAGGCTCCTTAGGGTCCCTCCAGCCCTTTGGGGCCTCTTAGGGTTTAGGGTTTAACCCCCTAATGGGAGGGTTTCCGAGAAAAGGAGGGGGTACCCCATTTTTGGTGGGTCCCTTTAAGGGGATTCGTTTTTTTTTTCTTGTTTGGGGGGGGGGGGGGGGGGGGGGGGGGTGGGGGGGTAGAAAAGGGGTATTATCCTAGTTTGGGAAATACCCATAATATGGTGAGTTCTCCAAATTCGGGTCCTTTTTGGGTACCCGAAAATGAGAGGGGCCGCCTTAAAATAAGGACCCCAAAAGAAACCCTAATTTAGAGAAATCAGCGGATAGCTGATCTCGGCTCCACTCCGCAGGGAGCACGCCATCAGGCAGCTGCTGAAGGAGAGCTGACCAAAATCACATGTTGCTTCAACATGACGTCCAGTTCATTACACCAGGTTCTCTAAACCCTAAACCTTGAAGAACATCACCTCAAACCACACCAACCCATGTCAACATCGCAGCACCACCCCTAACACGTTCTAGGGTTTAGGGCCATGCTAGCCAACGCCTTCACGGTATTGACGGTCGACTGTGTGTAGCCGACATTCCTCGACTGTTCTGACGAATCGTTGCGTTGATGCACATATTGGCTATAGACCCAAGCCCTCACCCCTGCAGCAGAAAAGCTGCAGAGACCAAACGCATTCAAAAAGAACTGGTGCTGAAGACCCTCCACGCGACGGGTTGGTGTTGCCATTGGTGGGGAAGTACATCTCGGACGCCTCATCGGTGATGAACTCTAAGTCATCAGCCTCCACCGCTTTGGCATAGGACTCTGCCTACTTGCCGGCGCGACAGTTGCGGGCACTGAGCCCTAAACCCTAAACATCCCCAAGCCTTAAACCTTTAAGACTAATTATACTTAGTTACTTATGACTTCGCTGCCCTAAACCCTAAACCCTATAAAGTCTGAACCCTGAACCCCGAACCTGGACCGAATCTGAGATTTCCTTCGGCCAAAGCCGGGAGGGGCCGCTGAAAAACACACTCCCCCCCCACCCCCCCAAAATAGTAGGGGTACACCGGTTCCGAGATCTTGATTCTCGAAACCCCCCCCCCCCCTGCTCCCCCGGTGAAAGAAGGGATCCCTGCGAGGGACTCCTTGGAATCCCAGGAAGACAAAGCGGCGGGCATTGAAGCATCTCCATGGAGGAGACCAGGCAATCTAACAATAACAAGTGAGCCCCCCAAGTTGGTGCCCTAGGTTTAGGGTTTAGGGTTTAGGGTTTAGGGTTTAGGGTTTAGGGTTTAGGGTTTAGGGTTTAGGGTTTAGGGTTTAGGGTTTAGGGTTTAGCGTCCTAAAGCCCTTTAAAAACCCTTAGTCTGACTGAGCCCCCTAAAAACCCCAAAGCTTCTCACAGGTGAAGGAGGCCCAGGAGTTGGCCTGGACTTCCAGGGGCACGGCATACTCCGGATCCATCAACTCCTGAAGCTGAATTTTGGGTCCTTAGGGCTTAGGGTTTAGGGTTTAGGGTCTCAGGGCCTCTGCAAGTCCATTCCGAAAAGGGCTTTTGGAAGGCTTCGGGGTTCTGCGGAACTCGGCGGCATCATGTCTCATCGGGCCTTGGCTTCGACTATGACTGAAACCGGAACAGTACTGAAACCGAACAAACCTGAAACTACTTGTGACAAAGGAGATGACCCCCGAATTATAAGTAGAGTTATAAGAGCCCTAAATTGGGTTATAAGGATCCTAACTTAAGTTCCTCGCGGTCCTTGGGGGGTCGCAGCCTGGGCGTGGATGACGCCCACATCATGGTGGCGATCAGAGCACCCGCACATGGCACTGCCACAAGTCCAGCTCCTGGGCTGCCCCGCCCCTATAGGTGGCATTTAAAACCCAAAGTTTAAGGTTTAGGGTTTAGGGTTTAGGGTTTAGGGATAGGTGGCCCCCTGAACCACACTGCTTCTTGAGATCGGTAAAACAAAGTCATGGCCCGGCCACACTTCTCGCAGCGCGGGTTTAAAGTTGATCGTCAGCGTCACATGACGCGTGGCCCTGCCGCATGTTCCTAACGTTGCATGGGGAGGAGAAGCTGGGACTACCGCAACCAACCCGCAAAAACCACACCACCAACGCTTCCTTAGACAGCATCCTGGAGAAACTGGAAGATGTGCCAGCTGTCTATGTCCCCACAAACATTCAGGATTAAGCGTGAACACGGAGTCTGCTACCTAAAGACCTAGGAACGTGCTTTCATTTCCGCTGCAGACGAAGAAGACTAATCATGAAAGATGCCTGTGTGCACCTCTGTGTGTGCCCGAAACCAACCAGATAGCACCAAGAGTCGTTTCCAGGAGCGGGCCCGCTTCTGCTCTGCGGCTTCCACGGAGAGAAGCGCATCTTGCTCCTCAAGTCCCATCCCCGTCTGTAACAATAATTGAAAAACGAAGGCCTAAGCCATCCTATGCGGCCCCAGCCCGATCCTTCAAAGCTTTGAAAACCCGGCGAAGATTAAGCCTGGAAACTCCCAGCCCCAAAAATCCTGGGATTCAGCCGGTTCCAGTGATTTGCAAAGACTCGAGAGAGCGGTCCTGTTCTGCGCCGGCGCCGCGCTCGTCTGCCATGCTTTCACGACCTTTTGGTACTTTGGTGGAAGAAATCTGAAGCTTGGGATGTTCCCCCTTCTACTATAAGGTTGAGGGTTTAGGGTTAGGGTTTAAGGTATATTTAACAGTCCTTAATAAGGAGTATAATAGGGGGTACTATAATCCCTATTAGGGACTGTTCGTATAATCCGGGGGGGGGGGGGGGACATCCCAATCTGAAGCGTGCAAAGCGGTTGAGGATGTACCATTGCTAGGATGGCGGAAGCTCACCTTCCGCCCGGTCTTAGAATGGGGAGTGGTCTTGAAGTCTTGGGATAGGGTTTAGGGTTTAGGGTTTAGGGTTTAGGGTTTAGGGTTTAGGGTTTAGGGTTTAGGGTTTAGGGTTTAACCTCAGGGCGTCGTGTGCCATGCAGCACCTTGGGGTTTACCGCCGCAACGCCCACCCTGGTTCCATGAATGATTCCACCTACTTCTCGTGGCCAAGTATTTCGGCTCAGCTGTCCCCTCTATCCCCCTATCCATCCACGAGAAGGGCCTCTTAAAGGTGCGGAAGCCTTCCCTGCAGAGGGGGTTTATAGTTAGGCTTTATAGGGTTTAGGGTCTGGCAACCCGACAAACCAAACAAAACTCACACAGAAGATGTTGGCTGAATCATCGTAACGCTCATCGCAGCCCTGACGTATTTCGGCAGCGTGCAAAAATTAGAGTATGGCTTTGGGGGGATAGTTACAGAGTATAATTATCATCGGATCAGGGTATGTTTCGCGGCATGTTTCGGGGGTATGTTTCGGGTATGTTTCGCGGCATCATGAGCTGCTTTACCTGCACTTTCGGGGGGTATGTTTCGGGGTATGTTTCGGGGTATGTTTCGCGGGTGTGCAACCCGTGTGCCCTTCTTTTTTAAACCTGGGCCCCCCCAAAAAACACAAACACCATACTAGGGGCCTTGCGCAGCAACTGCCAGTCTCGCCGTTGCAGCTAACTTTCGGCTGCTTGATCTAAAAACACAGCGGAAGGATGACGCGGCATACGTGTAGAGTGGCTCAGATGGTAGGGTTTAGGGTTTCGAGTTAAGGGTTCAAGGTTTGAGGAAGCGGGGGGGTGGGGACGAGGGAGGGGGGGCGGCGAAATTCTCAGGACAATGACCTCAAGCCATGTTCGAACAAAACCTTAAACCCTAAGCCTAAACCCCAAGCCCACATGAGAACCGCTGGTGCTGAGTTGGCCACTCCCGCTGACGAGGTGCAAGCTGTGAGCCCGCGTAGTGGGGGTTCAATGCAGCAGCACCTTTTTGAATGTTGAGAGGACAAGAGGAGATGGGAGTCTGTGCATGCGTGGGTACGTGGTGGCCTTGTCTTAGAGATCGTCAGGTTTGCGTTGTGGGTTGCACTGTGAAGCTCACAAACAATGCCATGTATGCAGCACGCTCATCAGGGCTGACCGCTGATTCTTTACATCCTGTTTCAAAAAAATTGCGAGACATCACTGCCACTCCCGTAATCGAGTTCCGGCATTCGACCCAGCATCTGCGCAGAACCTCCATGCTGCAGCTCAAACCACTCCTTCAATCACCCCAAGGCCCTAAACCCTAAACCCTAAACCCTAAACCCTAAACCCTATAAACCCTAAACCCTAAACCCTAAACCCTTGAGCAACCCACCTCAAATGCCCTCGGAACCCAGCCTCCTCGACCTTCGCCCACTGCAGGAAGGCGTGGCTGGCGAGAAGGCAGAGCCTTTAGATACTGCACCGCAGTTTCGCAACCGTTTAAGATTTAGAAACTTACCCTCTCAGGGACGGAGGAGTGTACTATGGTGTGCCAACAACTTCGGATTTCTAGGCCGCGAACGCAAAGTCGGACGTGGCGTACGCACAGCCCGAAACCTTCAACCTAGCTAGTTTCCTTCTGGCTGCCGAGTAGCTGAGCTTGGAGCAAGACTGGCGCTGTCCTCCTCAAATTGGAATTTTCTGGTTTGCGCTTTTGGGGCCTTTGGGGCTTTTGGGGGGCTTCGGGCTTAGAGTATCGGAGGTTTTGGCGTTTGGGGTCATGGGGGCTTTGAATTTTGGGATTTTGCACCTGCAAGGTGTGCGTGGAAACCCATGTGCCAGAAGGTTTGCAGTACGTGAGCCTCAAACGTCTTTGGAAGGGGCGGGCCGCCAGGGTTTGCGCGCATTGGTTCTACAGGTCCTGGCATAGAATCCTGAACTCGAGGAACCCCACCCTCATTCCCCAAATTACCGGGATACCTTAAGTCATTTAAGTCTAAGTTGCTCTTACCCCCGGACAGGCCACATGCCTTTTTCAGCAGAATTGCGGGGCTGCAATCGACTGCAGATTCTCCGGGCTCCCAGTAGGGACTCTTGGCTTCTGGCTGACTAGTGTGGTTTCATAGTGGTTTCATGTATTTCTATAGAGCTTGTAGATGCTTGTATAGGGATTGTTTGAGGGTGCCGAGCAGACGAATCGCGACACGAATGGAACAGTACATTCACAAGTCCAGCGGGGTCCCCGGAGAAGTACGAAATCATATGCGACATCACTGTCGCTCAGTTGCGGTAGGTCCAGTGTCTATCTGCACCTAAGCTGTCCAGCACTATTCGTCCCCAAGTCCAGACCTGTTCGTTGTCTTTGTGGTGCGCCAAGATTGTTTTGATCAGGCCCTCACCGCCACTGGCCTTGACCTCGTCACGACAAACCAAAACCTCCAACAAACGGGCCAAGCTGGAGAGTGCCAGGACCTGCAGAGCAGTGGCCTCCACATGCCGTCGCATGGCTTCCTTCGTCAGCATCACAACGCGAGCGAAGTCCACGTCGCAGAGCTTCTGAGCTGGAAGGGGCCAGTCTAGCACTGACACCAAGAAGGAGATACAGCTCATCTGCAGGGAAGCATCCTCGTGCATGCCCAGTGCTGTCTCAGCACGCCTCACGCCGCTGGCCTCTGCGATCGCCATGGGTCCACGACGCCTGCGCGCCAACCCTGCCAATGCAGCGATACCCTGTGACTGCACGCTGAGCGCCGCTCCGTGCATGTCCATGACAGAAGTGGCCGCCATGGCAATGCCTGGAACAACCAAGGCTTCGGACAGTTCACCATCCGTTGCAAGCAGCTGCTGAAGCATTGCCAGCCAGCCCAGGGCCATTTCTTCTGCATTTTCCGTGACTGGTGCTGCTGCAAGGAACTGAGAGGCAATGTACTTGGCCTGCACGAGCTCTCCAGCTAGTCGGAGGAGCATGTCCTTGAAGGGCGTGCGCCCTGGTCCCTCAAGCGAAATAAGCTGCCCATACAGCTTCGCCTGCAGCCGGAAAAGCTCGGGGGAGAGTCGGGGAGTGTTGGCATCGGCCCTCTCAGCTTCGGCCACGAGGATACGGGCCATGGCTTCATGAGCCAACTTGGAGGTCTCTTCCGTGGCTTGTTCCAGCAATGCTGGCAAAACCTCACTTGGGAGTGCCCGAACCGCCTCCGCGGAGAAGCAGAGGTGGCAAAAACAGCGCAGGGCCATGACCTGGAGGGTGTCGCGGTCCCGGTGGAGCCGAAGAACACGCAGCATCTGCTCCACGCAGCGTGGGCTCCTCACAACTTCCAAGGGCTCGTTGTAGGCCAATGAAGCCAAGGCCCGGAGTGCTTTGGTTGCCTCATAAGGTACCGCCTCATAGTCCACAAGGTGCTGGACTACACTGGGCAGTTGGCAGCGGTCAAAGGTGCTGGCAGGACCTTTCGGAGGTTGCCTTATCGGCCCGGCCTGCGCGCTGGTGATCTGGTGTAGGAGCTGCTCCTTCTCCTGAAGCTCCTCGGCGTAGCTTGCGAGATCACTGCCAGAGATGCCCAGGTAATTCCCGCCATCTTTCACTGCGCGGACCTCGGCCAGTTCAGCTTGGACTGCAGAAAGGCGGCTGGCGAAGTCCATTTTGCAATGCCCGGCTGTTCCCGCAGCAAAAGGCCGAGGACCTCACAAACTCCTGCAAAAAAAGGCCGATGCCTAAAGTTGCCGTCTTTGCTTTTAAACCGAATCTACTATCTCACCTGAAAATCATGTTGTGCATCTGCGAATCTAGACCCTGAACCCTCTCCTTGAGGCACAAACTTTGCACGCAAGGCCTCATTCGGCATCATGTCCGGACGTGACACCCGGTGTCCTTTTGCTAGATGAACCCTCGTCGGTCCACATGCCCAAAGGAAGTGGAGCTTTGCTCAGCCGCTGTCAAAACACTTCAGGTTTCTTAAGCATCTCGGGTACCCTTTCCAACTGGTTGTCTTAGCCACCTCCTAAATCTTTTCCATGCAACTAAACTCCAAGCCCGATAACACCCTAAGGTGTGTTGGGTTGCTGGGGTTGCCCACTCAATGCCCCTAAACCCTAAACCCTAAACCCTAAACCCTAAACCCTAAACCCTAAACCCTAACCCCTAACCCCTGAAGCCTAAACCCTAAACCCTAAACCCTAAACCCTAAACCCTGAAGCCCCAATCTGCCGAAGTGAAGCGGCCGCCGGCCTCTCGTGCTCTGGGAATGGGGGGCCGCTTCTCGGGCCTCAGCGTGTAGCGGTTTAGGGTTTAGGGTTTAGGGTTTGGGGTTTGGGGTTTAGGGTTTAGGGTTTAGGGTTTGGGGTTTGGGGTTTAGGGTTTAGGGTTTGCACGCAACATAAACCATGGAATGCTGAAATCGTCAGGGCATTCACAATATGACGAAAAATGGCAATGAAGAGAACGCTGAAAGAGCAAGCCCTAACAATGAAAGTAATGATAGTATTGGTATGCAACATTGAAGGAGAAGTGCCGAGCATATTGTTCCATTCTACTCCCTGAGCGCTTTCATGCCAAAGACATGACATGCCACACATGCCACTGATGCGAACAACTGAACAGAGCCAGTGCTGCTTCATCTTGCCCCCCAATCGCCCCTGCCCGGGTGTAGTCGGTAATTGTAAGACCGCGAGGCAGCATGTTTTGCTATCCCCAGGGGCTGACCACAACTGTAGTCTCAAGATGCTCAAGAGACAGGAATCAAAATCAGTGCAAGCATTAGCCATGATGATCCAATGTCATCTCTGGGCTCCTGAAAAAACGCCCGAAAGCCCTAAACCCTCATTCTCCTCTAACACCCTAAAGCCCTAAAGCCCTAAACCCTAAAGCCCTAAAGCCCTAAACCCTAAAGCCCTAAAGCCCTAAACCCTAAAGCCCTAAACCCTAAAGCCCTAAGCCCTAAAGCCCTAAACCCTAAAGCCCTAAACCCTAAAGCCCTAAGCCCTAAACCCTAAAGCCCTAAACCCTAAAGTCCTAAACCCTAAAGCCCTAAAAGCCATAAACCCTAAAGCCCTAAACCCTAAAGCCCTAAACCCTAAAGTTTAAACCCTAAACCCTAAAGCCATAAACCCTAAAGCCCTAAACCCTAAAGCCCTAAACCCTAAAGTTTAAACCCTAAACCCTAAAGCCCTAAACCCTAAAGTCCTAAACCCCTCGATGTGGAGTGTTGCCGACGAGCCAAGGCCGAGGCATGCGGCTGCGATCCACCAAGTCACTGGCCTGACTTTCACGTCCCTTCTCGGGGGGGTTCTGGCAAGTGAGGGATAGGACTAGGGGGACCCTTAGGGATAGTTTAAGAGAGCCAATAGAGGGTTCAGAAGGGTTCCCGTTTAAGGGTCCCCCTTATCCTACCTAGGAACAAGAAGGATTCCAGTATTTTGGGGCTGCATCAGGGATATTCAAATATTTCACCATTTCTGCACAACTATGTCTGCATCTGATTTGTTATATTTCCGTTTTGCTTTGCATGCATATAGAGTGTATCTATGCGGTTCAGAACGCACGTGCATATGTTTGAGAAGTTCTGTCATTAAACGCCCGAGATCCGAAAGATCCTCTTATTTTCCCTGTTGACATGCCTTGTCGCGCTGCTGAAGGTATGCATCCAGGCTGTCCACCTGGTGTCATGCAAAAGATGCTGGTACACTGGGGCTCCTTTCTACCATAGATCATCGCTAGGATTGCCTCTTGCATGCGAACGACTGATCCCTATGATAGAGAGCCTGCTGTTCAAGGGTCCCTGCGTCTGTGCAGTGGTGAGTTTTGAAGCCGCGTGGCGGGTCCACAGGGAAACAGCTTCTGAATGCCCGCAACCGGCTTGGCCGGGCTGAGCAGGTCGACACAGTTGCGTAGGCCTTCATGATCCTTCATGTATATACAAAGCAGGCGCCACCATTCTCTCTCTTTGGGTAGAGGCCCTTGATAAAGCCGGGTACCTTCCGATCGGCAACTGCTTGAGATCACAGTGTTCACACGCGATTCATCGCGGATGCTTGCCGAGGTGCGTCTCACACGTTGCGGGTAAGGGACAGCTTGGCTTGAATCCCCTGAGCAACAGCCGATCATGATCAAACGTGTGCAGGCCCACATGCCTTGCAGCAGAGTGTTCTTAACCCTAAACCCTAAACCCTAAACCCTAAACCCTAAACCTTGCTTCATCTGTCCTCCCGAGGTTGCCTTCAGGGTCTTCTTCAGCTTCTGTTTCGCAGTGAGCTGCGAGTTATCAATCTCCCAAACTTCTTCCACAGCTTCGCCTTCGTCGTCCGCAAACCTGCAAAGTGTCTGTCGAGGTTAAGTCCTAAATGCAATCTAGGCAAGCACCCCTTGGCTTGCCTTTATCCGTTGTTGGAGGGGACGAATTCGGAATCAATAGGCTAGGCACTAGGCAGGGAGACCTGGTCGACCCTCAGCCCTAAACTTAAACCCTAAACCCGACACCCTAAATCCGAAACCCTAAACCCATACACTAAACCCTAAACCCTAAACCCTAAACCCTAAACCCTAAACCCTAAACCCTAAACCCTAAACCCTAAACCCTAAACCCTAAACCCTAAACCCTATACGAGCCGGTTTCTTGCCAAGGGGCGTGATTTTATGCGAGGCGCTCCCTTCCGAGATCTCCTTAAGCCGCCAGGGCCAGGGTGCCCCAAAAGCAGGTATGCAAACCCCAGGGGTTTAGGGTTTAGGGTTTAGGGTTTAAGGTTTAGGGTTTAGGGTTTGGGGCTTTTTTGCCACCCGGGGGTTTAGGGTTTAGGGTTTAGGGTATGCAAGAGAACTGACAACCACAAAGAATCTCCAAAGCGTCTCCACAGAATCTAAAGGCCATGACGAGGCTCGCCACGGGGAAGGATAGGAATGCCTTTTCGATCCATGCGCTTGGGCGGCGTCCCTTCCACCTGCCTGGCATGAAGGCTTTCTAACTCACCCTTCAATGTGTCCGATCTACCAGCGGGCCTTCGGTTTAGGGTTTAGGGTTTAGGGTTTAGGGTTTAGGCTTTAGGGTGTAGGGTGTAGGGTTTAGGGTTTAGGGTTCGAAGCAAGTTTAGGAGCTGAGGTGTCTGCATTCAAGGCTTTTCAAGATCTTCGGGCATCCTCGGGAATTCGTAGGGAAGCCTGTGTCAGTGACGAGCTGCGCCAACCGTTTCGTCAGGACAGCACTTCAACATAGCGACAAACGCCGAGAAATCTCGCAGCAACCAGTTTCCTGATCCCCCCACTAATCATCAATCCCACAAGTGGAAGCATCGGGCCCGCTTTCGGACAAGGTTCCAAGTTTGCTAAGAAACAGCACGCACGTGCTCGCAACGACATTAGGTTTGCTGTTACCACCTATACGCTTGCAAGCTTAAAGCTTAAGAGACTAGAGGTTTGGGCATGTTTTGCACAATGCTACACAGTACCTCGCAATACGTGCCATGCTCTTTGAACAGCGGAGCGCACAAGCCCATCAAGCTCAACTTCCAAAACTTCCTTCAACACACAACACGAAGCATCACCTCCCCAAGTAAAGCTATGTCAACATCACAGGCTTGCTTCATGTCATACATGTAATATGAAAGCAAGCGTGCTATTATCTTCGAGCCTGAGAAGTGTTTAGCGAATCTTTGGTCATTTCAAGGTTGGGGTCTAGGGTTTTCTTCCACCCACTGGGTGCAGGGTTTCGGGCTTAGGGCTTCCAAGTTTCAAGTCTAAGCTAGAGCTGTGGACGCAGCGAGATTCGAACACTTGTGGTGCCGCAGGTCCCCACAGGAGCATGCTCCAAGCTTTTAGCGCTCACCGCATCCCCCCCTAAACCCTGAGCCCCTCACCCCAAACCCTCAACTCCTCACCCTTTTGCATCCAGGCTTGGGTGAGCGTGCCGGGAAAGAGCTCATGCTGCCCAGGTTCGTTGTAAACCCATCGCAGACAAGCACACCAAAAGAAGCAGACCGAAACACACGTGCACGTAGTTCTGCTGACTATGTTAGCACATGCGCCACAGCATCATACATCGGTGTAGGTCAACTCCTCACCCTAAACCCCTAAACCCTAAACCCCTCACCCTAAACCCCTAAACCCTAAACCCCTCACCCTAACCCTAAACCCTAAACCCCTCACCCTAAACCCCTCACCCCTAAACCCATAAATCACAAAGCCAAGGTTCAAGCTGTGTGCCGACTGGCCAAGGCTGGCCTCGAACTCCGGGGCATCCTGAGAGGTGGAGCTTGAGATCTGAGGGTGTGTTGAAGAGAGCAGTTCTACCCTAAGGGTTTAGGGTTTAGAGTTTAGGGTACCCTTAACCTGAAACCCGTAACCCCAACAAGGGGTTGGGTGGTGTGTTGAAGAGAGTAACTATACCCTAAATCCGATACCCTGAGCCGAAGTCCTCTTGCACAACCCGCAGTGATGTGGGGCCCCTGGAACCCTAAACCAAGGCGGCTGAGGTTCTCGAGGCGGATGTTGCGAGGCAGGGTCTTCGCCGCGTCGCACGCAGCATGGACTGCATGGTTGCGTTGCACCCATGCCCGCAGGCCATGGCAGATCCACTGCTACTCAATTGCGAGCGTTACGTGGGGCGATTGCGGTAGCTGAGTTTCTATCGTGCAAACACATCTTTCGCGATCCAAAGGATGCCTGGAGCAAGCTAAACTCTTTGGACTCGAAGGGTTAGGGGGGCGGGCAGTGGCGCTTAAGAACTGAAAGTGCCCTGAAGTCTCAGATGGCGGTTGCAGAGCCCGGCAGCCAAAAGAGACCAGAGCGCACGAAGTCCAAAGATGTGTCCAAACAAGACTGGCAAAGCGAAAAAGATTGAACAGCCATCCATGTTGCTGCCATGTTCTCACACGCAGCGCGTCCGATGTGAATTCAAGGGCCCTCCATTCAAGCACCCCACGAGCCGAGGGTTCAGGGGTTTAGGGTTTAGGGTTTAGGGTTTAGGGTTCGTCCAAACAAACTTTCCGTGGAAGGAAGGCACTGGGGTGCCATACTTCACGCCCATGTCAAATTCTTTCTCTTAAGTCTTCCAAATCTTCAACCAGTATGAACATGCGCTTAAGGCAAAGATGTCCAAGGTGGGGTTAAGTTAGCAATAGATCCTCGTACCCTTAAAGACCTCATACAGACATTCTATAAAGTCTACCCATTGAAAGAGTCTTATGGGATCACCATTCACCACGCCTCCAACTCCTCGGCCGTAGGCCGGCCTTCTCATCAGTTCGGGGATGCTTCGGGTTTAGGGTTTCGGGTTTCGTGTTTAGGGTTTAGGGTAACACCCTTACACACAACAAAATTGTTCTACCCCCCCCCCCCCCCCCCCCCCGCAAAGAAAGCCCCCCCCCCCCCCCCCCCGTTTAAACCCAGGGCCCCTCGTCTAAGGGTCCCTCCGGCCAGTGAATAATGGCATGGTTTAGGTGCAATCTGCGGGGTTCACAACCGCGGATTAAGGGAGTTGGAGCCTGGTTCACAAGGTTCCCCAGCAGGCTGCACACTGCTACTTTTCTGGCGCCTAGCGCGCATAAGCTCAAGGGCCCTGTAGCGGCAGTACATACATGCTTCAAATGGCATGACGCTCTCGCTCCACGAAAGCATATGGAATCGCAGAACTTTGCATTCCCTGTACTTTAAGTTGATCAAGAAGCCGGATGACTTCCTTGATCCCTGGCATCGTTCTGTACGTCAACTTGCAGTGCCAGCCAACCTTGTTCAAGATGCTCTCTAAGTTGGTAAGATGGCTTAAGCTTGGTAAGGTGGTCGGCTAACTGGCGACTGGTGTCAACCCACTTGAACGTACCTTTCAGGTCTTCGGGGTCAAATTCTTCCGCTGACTGTTTGATTGCACCTAGGTCTATCGTGAGACGCTTCTCTTGCGTGGCCGACACTGGCCCATCTTTCACAAGAAGATCATACAAACTACGGCAATCAGTCACGGGATGTACAGGGAGAAAGTCCTTGGGAAGTGCGCCGCTCTGCACCGGCGAGTAGCTCTCCAAGAGAACTTCCGCTAACAGCTCGCGGAGGAAGATGCCGCTGTCGAATGCTGTGTCGAGGGACATCGTCTCAGCTGCCAGCGTAGACCGGCATTGGCGTTGGATGCGATGTGATCGCCAATCCATGAGGGAAGCTGTGTCACCCCCGGGGCTAAAGACATCGGGCCCCGTCAAGAAGCTCAGGTACCCGGCTTGACTCTTCAAGCCCTCGGCGTTTGCCCAAGAGGCGTCGCTGAAGACCACGACCTTGGCCTGGTCCAACGGCACGGGGGAAAAACACAGGCCCCAGTCCTGAGATTTCTTTGCCTCCTTCAGCAACTTGTTGATCTCGAGGAGGTTGGAAACGGTGGGCTTCCCGGACATGAAGAGTGAAGTTCCGGCAGCCAGATCCGGACGTGTCTGGCCAATGAGCCAGTGTAGACAGCCGCCGGCCGATCTCAGCTCGGTCGTCTCCCGGCCAGTCAGCTCGGAGTTGGGCTGAATGGACCTCCACTTCGGTACCGGAGTGAGGTTCGTTGCCTGGATGAACTTCTCCTGCGTCAGCTGCACTCGGCCATCAGGAAGTCGACGGACTTGTTTCCCGCCGTATTCCAGCACCTCGTCTGTCCGGGAGTCGGCCCAGGACCCAAAGTCGAAGGCCTCTTTCACCTTCGCCAGCACTTCGTCGGCGCGCCCTCCAGGTTCGCCGGCACCGATCAGATCGTCCACGTGGGCTCCCATCAGGAGCACCAATTGCCCCAGGTGGTAGTAGGCGAAGAGGGCCTTATCGAGCACGGACTGCACGAAACCCAGCTTTAACAATGTGTCGCGGAGGTGCCTCCAGAACAACCTTGGTGAGTTTGCCAGGCCGAAAATCCCGCGAACCACGAGAAGGATCTGGCCCGCGACGAGCCCCGGAAGGCCCTCACGGGGTTGCCTTAGAAACAAAGGCTCCTTCCTCGAAGCCAGCGACTGGTCGCCCTGCAAGAAAGCGCCGGTGACGTCCGCGTTGAAGAGGAACCAGGACGGCAAGCTTGCTGCAATTTGAAGGATCACCATGAGACCCAATCTTGTCAGCGTCGGAGCATCTCGCCGCAAAGTGAGCAAGTCAGGATCGCGGTCGCCCCTGCACACCAGCCTAGCCTTTGCTTTCAAAGGCAGCCAGGGGTAGGGCGCATTCTTGTTGCGGTAGCACACCCTAGTGTCGAGGATGCGACTGCTGTCGTACTGTTCCAACACAACCTGGGACGCGTGGGGCGACAGGATCTCGACCGCTGCATACTTTGTCCATGTGTCCCACTCCTTCTGCAAGGCCGCCGCGTAGCTGTCCTTCTGCTCGAATGGGATCTGGTTGAAGGGGATCTCCTTCTCAAGCGCTTTGGCCTCTTTTCGAGTTGCGCACGCAGCGCGTGTGCCAGCGGCCAAAACGGACTCCTGGAAGGGCTGCGAAGGTTTGGCAAAGAGCTCCTCCACTGAAACCGGCACATAGACGGTGGTGATGTTTACGCCCTTCCCGAGCGCGGCCTCAAGAGCAGCCTCAGCAGCTTCGTCCAACTCTGGTTCTGGCGTATCAACCTCCACGACCTCCGAGCGGAAACGCTTGGCTTCCGGTTCTTCAAGGCCGCTAGGTCGGTCCTCGCGCGCCGTTGGGGACGGCTGTGTCCTATCAGACCCACACAAGGAACCAGTGCCATGTTCATATCGCTCCGGTAGTGGTCCGTCTCCTTCGCGATGCTCTCCTTCACCTGCTGCAGCTTGTGCGTCTAATCCGGGAAGTTCGTTAGGTGCGTCCTCGATGTTGTCGTCGAAGAAAGGGATTACTTCCCCGGGTGCACCAGCTTCTCCATCGGGGACCTCGGCTCGTATGTCCAGGAACTCCTCCAGGCGGAGGATTGCCTTGCTCAACGACTGGTTCACGGAGAACTCGGCAAGCTTGGCGTCGGCGCTGGCCCGGATTTGTTGGCGCAGTCTCAACTCCTGGTCGGCATCCATGCCTTGAAGAGCTTGTAGCTTTCCATCCGGTGACAGCAAGTCCACTGGCACCTTTGGGTGTTTCCCGAACACCCATTCGTTTGCTGAGCAGCCAGAAGTGCGAACTCGGTCGTTCATGCTGGCGCCGACAGAAGAGGCGAGCATCTTCATCCCCAGTCGGCCGGTAATGTGGTGCTCGTCGATCAACTTGGCCGCCGCGTACCGGAACGCCCGGTTGAACGTCTCGACCTGTCCTGCTTGCCAGTGTGCCTCCGCCGCAATGTGCTCGATTTCCGTGCCGACGTTAACGAGCTGTTCTGCAAAATACGCTCCGAAGCCCCCGTCCTGGTCCACCAGGATGGCGTCCGGCCAACCGGCCCAAGAAGCCCATATGTTGCAGAAGGTCTCGAACACATGTTCTGGATTTCGGCTCTCCACCGGGTAGAAGACGTTGAAGGACCCATTTGGCTCCACGATGTGCAAGAACCAGTGTCCTTCCTTATCCGCGTCGTGCAGGTGAACGAAGTCCAGACACACTCTCGAGTTGAACGGCCCCGTCATCTTCAAGGAGGAAGGCCTTGGAGGATGTGGTCTTTTGGTCCTCTCACAGGTGGCACACCGCAGGCGTCGACTGAGTGAAATTGCCTCAGGTGACACCCGGTAGTTTTGGGCAAGTGCCCGGGTGAAATCTTCCGCCCGTGGATGCCCCAGATTCCTGTGTGCCCTCACCAGCGACCGCGCAATTGCCTTCTCCTTTTCCTTCAGAGGCCCGCCGATGAACCAAATTTCTCCGGCGAAGCTCTGTTGAACCACGCCTTCTTGTATCATCCCCTCATGGATCACGTCCTGCACCATCTGCCCAGGCTCGACCACGTTCTCGCCAGGTTCCGCGGGTAGCGGCTGTCTCGTTGGAGGTCTCGCTGATGCTGGGCCGGAAGGTTCCCCAGGGGCATGTCCGAGGACGAAAATGGCGTAGCGGACGGGAGTCACAAATCGCTCACGCGGTGCTTGGCATTCGCGGATGTACTCTGTCTCAATCTGCACACTGTCATCGTTCAGGAGCAGAACGGAGGCACGATGTGACTGACTCCTCTAAGCCAGCCTTCACCCGCTTTGCCTTAGGGAGGTGAGCGATCTGCACAGAGAGGATTTGCCAAGGCACCAGTCGCTCGATTTTGCTGTGGAAGTCCGTGCCGGGTGGAATGAGGAGACTTGCCTGGTTCTTACGACCCAGCAGCTCCTGAGCTTGAGTCAGCATGTCCCGCCACCCGGCTTCATCTCGTTTGACGTCCACATAGTGCACGGCCCTCACGGCTTCCCACGTCGTCGCGAAGCCATAGTCCTCCTGCGCCACGACTTCCCAGTAGGCTTGGCAGATAGCGTCTGCCAAGGCCGGCGGATACGCCACCGTCGTTGCGCATTGTCGGTCCAGCGCCCAAGTACAATACGGGTGCGTGGCCACGAACCGAAGTCGCTTCTGCCCCAGACGTCCATTCTTGTCGGTCAGCTGGGGCATGGACACACACGACGCGGTCTCATACAAGTCCTGGCGCAGCTGGTACTCGGCCTTCTGGAAACCATGGGATGTTGCGGGGCTCTCGGCGACGGCATGTCCTCCTCGCCGTCGTTGGCTCCGGAACACATCGTCAGCAAGCTTCGCAAAAGGCTGTACATATTCTCGGCGCAAGGCCAGTTCTTCGTCGGCTTGTGAAACCGACCATGCCGTACAGGGGATTGCGACCACCACCAGACGAGGATCCAGTCGATCCAGCACACGGAGCAGCCACTGGCGCTCTTTGGGCTTCTTCAGGTCGCAGCCACACCGAATGTCGATGGGTTGAAGGACCCTCATGCCCCAATGGGCCGTGGCTCGTACCGAAATCATAGAAGTTCCACCGAACACTTCCAGGAGATCGCACCCGAATCGCTTGCGAGGCCATCGGGCCTTTTGGAGTCTGTCTTCAACCAGACTCCTGTGCATGCGAGCTCCTGCCAAGGCTTGTCGGGCTCGAGACATCATTCGTTTCACTTGGCCACGCTTCAAAGCTCCTCCTCCGACGTCGACTGTTCCGCTGCTTCCTCCTCCGAGTTCTCCTCCATGTCCTCGTCCGTATTCCACGCCAGCACCTCCCCGAAACTGACCGCCCCCTTCACGGGCGTCGGCGCCATGTACTTGACGGCCTGCTCGTGGTCGTAGGTCGGGAGGTCGGAGTAGACTGCAGTGCTGGCCCGCGATGTCATCGGAATAGGCGCGGAAGACGGCGTCGGTGCAATGTTCTTCGAGCTCGTGGCTGTCGAACGCCCAGCCGCCTTGGCCTTGTTGGCCTTCTTGTCGCCCTTGGAGCCCTCCACCATGCAGCCCTGCGAGCAAGAGTAGCAAGTGGACAAACTTGCGGAAGACGCCTCGTCCTGGCGCACGGAGTCTAACGCCTCCTTGCCCTTGACGATCTTGCCTCCCGGAATGTCTCTGTGGCCCCAAAGTCGCGGATACGCCGTCACCATGTCCCCTGCGACCGGGATGCGGTACTGCACCCCTTTCCACACTGTGCCGCACTGAGCACACTCCAGGAAACGGCCATGGGTGTTCCCCGTCTTGCGGCCCATGTGGGGCGGATGTCGGCACTTCTCGCGGGGCGTCGGATACTGGACAGGCGCTGGCTGCCCCGCCGGCTTCTGATTCCTCACTGCTGGTGGAATCAAAGTAGCCGGGATCGTCTTCAACGAGCTTTCCTCCTGCACGATGGCCTGCACGTAGCCCATGAGAGCCGGAGAGCGGTACTTCATATCCATGACCTTCTTGTTGAAATGCTCCCACCTGACCATCACGTCGAACATGCTCAGCATCTTCGTCACCACGCCGAACCATAGCCCCTGAAGGTGCGTCTTCTTCGCCCCGTCGGTGCTCGAGGTTGCCTTCCCCGGGCGCATGCGGTGTTGCATCGCCAAGGGTCTTCTGCGCAGGCTTCTGAAGGGGCCTAAAGCCGGAGTGCTGCGTAGGAATGCTTTCACCTTGTGGGATGCGATAGGTGCCCTTGCGTCTGGACGGAGGGATCCCTGGTGGCTTTGCTGCTGAAACATCTACATGATGTATCTTCTTAACTTGGGGGTTGAGGATCTCGGAGGGCAATGCCTTCACAGACTGTCCGTCAGCCAATGTGACAACCACGTGTTGTTCAGCAGGAGGAAAGCATTCAAGATCATACTGCCTACCAACCCCAAAGAAGTACGTGCGGCCTATCCAGGGTTCTTGCAAGGAAGCTGACTGTCCGCCCCACTCGTCCCGCAGAGGCACAGGCAACGCTGAGCAAACCGTCACCCTCAATGGCTGCAGGCTCTCGGGGTCCGGCCCATCGATCGCGTCTTGCGGCTCGAAGAGCGCCACTCGTGGCCTGCAATGGTGTCGAACGAAGATCCGAGTGTCATACTTGAACTCCCAATAGTCATTAGGCAGGGCACGTAGAAGTGTGTGGTTCCGCAGGCAACTTGCGAAACGTCGGGCAAGACTGTCTCTTTTCTTGCGGCGAATGCCGTTGCTGCGACATCCGAGGCGCCAAAGGTGGCACCTGCGTAGCCCTCTTTCTGGGGCTTCAACCCGGCTGCCCATCCTCCTGCAGGAAACTCGTCGATCGCGATCACTAAGTGCCCTGTCGTGTCTACGAAGAGGGGCACCTCGATCCCGATTTCTCGTAGCAGAGCTCGGTCACGACCAATGTCCAAACAAGCGTCCATGAACTTCATCCAGTCTTGTCCTGCCAGAAAGGGCACCTTCGGGCTGTGCGTGTCTTCCACCGCCGAGGTGTGTATCACGGCCTGTTCCCCACCGATACCAAGCGGAAAAGACCATCTCTCCTTCGACGGCAATGGCGGCCCCGGCCCAAAGCAGTAGTGCTCCGACTCGGCCTCAATCTTCACATGGACGCCGTAGTTCGTTTCCAGCTGCTTGGCGTAGCTCCGCAACAAAGTCACCCCGGCCACCGTGTTCTCGCAAGCTGTGTCCAACGTCAGATAGAGCCGGTTGGGCTCCACAGTCGGTGGCCTGCGTGAACTGCTGCAAACTGCCCGCTCCAAGCTGAAGTCGGCCCGCCGGGTAACTAGGGCGCGCCGAAGCGACTCGATGTCTGGGCCCGGTGTGTCTTCGTCCAACAATTCTCGCACGCCTTTCCTTCCAGATGGCACTGGCTCCAGACCAAAGTGTCGAAAAGCTTCAGCCACCAACTCGGGGGCCTGACTCGGGGTCATGTGCGGCCGGTGCATGGACTGAATCCTGCTCTTCACCGCCTCAGCGTCCAGGAAAGTGTCAGAGGTGAGCTGGGCCTTGACCTGGTCCGCGTTCACGGCAGGCGCGCTTGGCTCGGCCTTGCGGCGCACGCGGTCAACACCCCGCGCCACCGCCTCTGCTTCAGCCCGCCTGTCCCGGTCGTCGCCTGGCTCTCTGCGCGCCGACACATAGGACGAGCGATGCGCCTCATAGCCATAGCGCTCAGCAGCCCAAGATGGGTACTCGACGTCACGGTCGTAGTCCTCGTACCAGTCCTGGGCCTCATCGTCATCGTCCAGGCCGTCCCGCTGCACGGCGTTGTTGCTCCTGGCACCCTTGCATTGAGGATCTCCCCGCCAATGACCACGTTGCCCGCAGTCGGCGCACTGCGTCTTGCTCTTGAGCTCCTCAAGGGACATGCCACGAGCCTTGCCGCCGCCTCCTTTCTTGCCCTTGCCGTCTTTGGACTTGCCCTTGGAATCGTACTTGGACTTGCCCTTGCCTTTGCCCTTCTGCCCGACGTAGAAGCCGCGAGCTTGCACTGCCCGCGCCAGCTTCTGGCGATTCTCCCTGTGAGTGGCGAAACAAAGGTGGAGTTCCCTCGCGAGGTCCTCCGGGATCTCCTCTAGCTCTGCTGACGCCAACTGCTCCACCGGATCCAAGTCGTAGATCCAGTTCTCAACTTGCTCCTCTGTCGCCTCGTTGCCGGGCAACTTCCAAAGGTCTGCGTAGTCATGCGAAATTGGGCTCTGTTGGATATGAGCTTCGTGAGCAGCACGACCTCCACGGCCACCACGATCTCGCACATCACGACCTCCAGCAGCGTTGGCCTGACATTCACATTCTGGTACAGCAGCTCCACCGCCGCCTTCATCTTCTTCCAGTTGTACTCGCCGCCCGTGCGCAGCAACAAATTTGCCTGTCTCTCGGTGGACGACTGGGTGTGCTCGAAGAAGAAATAGATCATGATCTCGTCCGGGATCGTGAGGTTAGCCTCGCGACACCTACGTGCCGCCTTGTCCATGGCGTCGGCCACCTCCAGCATGGAGTAGGACTTGTCGCCCAAATTCAGGCGAAAGAAGCCCCGCATGGCAGACCCCACCTTGTGCATCCTCTTTTCGTCGAACTTCTCCTTGAGGACACGCAACAAGACCTGCCACCCTTTCTCCACGCCGAAAGTCCGAGCCGGGATGTCCTCCAGGTAGTCGGCCGCGTCTCCATCAAGCGCAGCGTGAAGCCTCAAGCCGATCTCGCTGTCGTCGATGATGTTCTTGGCGATCTCCACATAGGAGTCCACTTTGGCCGACCATTTCCTGAAGCACTTTGGATCCTTCTTCTTGTCGCCGTCGAAGGCAGGAGCCGGAGGTAAGTTCCCCCGGGGCTTCCGCTGCGACTTGCTCTTGTCATCAGAGCCTGCAGGGGCTCCTCTTGCCTTCGCCGGTTCCAAGGGTGAAGACTTAGGTGCGCTAGAAGAACTGCTTGCCGCCGCTGTCCTCAGACCATTGCGACCGCGCTGTCCGGAACCTCCACGAGGGGGCTCTGCCAGCAGCTCATCTTCATCTTCGTCTTCAACTACATATGCCGGATGTGACGAGGGATCCATATCGTCTTCTCCGTACATCTGTCTGTCGGACTCCCTTTCGGAGTCTGCGGCCTCATCATCTTCGGCCTCAGCCGCCGACAGATCATCTTGGCCGCCAGAGGTAGGCTGCGTCATCGAAGGGATATTGGGCATGCGCTACCAATGCAATCTGCGGGGTTCACAACCGCGGATTAAGGGAGTTGGAGCCTGGTTCACAAGGTTCCCCAGCAGGCTGCACACTGCTACTTTTCTGGCGCCTAGCGCGCATAAGCTCAAGGGCCCTGTAGCGGCAGTACATACATGCTTCAAATGGCATGACGCTCTCGCTCCACGAAAGCATATGGAATCGCAGAACTTTGCATTAGGGTCTACGTGTTTCGGCCCATTCTTTCTCTTTCTTTCGTTCTTTCTTTATTTCTTTCTTTCTTTCTCTCTCTCTCTCTCTCTCTCTCTCTCTCTCTTTCTGCACACATCCTGACAATCCATGGTCTCTTCGGTCTCTTCGGGCCTCCAGCAAGTTAGCGTATACAGGCACGATACAAGGTACACTGAGGATTTCCTTTCTAAGGGTTCCTCCCAGCTGTCAAGCATCGGCAACAGAAGAACCGTGGAAGACTCACACCCTCCACACCTTGAACCCTGAATTTTATCTCTGCTTGCTGCCAGGTTTTAGGCTCAGGGCTTCGGGTTTAGGAGATTAGGGTTTAGGGCGTTTAGGGTTTATCGGGAACAATGTCAAACCAACGCAGTAGGACAGATCCTCTATCATCCAGGTTCAAAAAACTGACTGGTTTGGGGGAGGAGGGGGTCGAAGGTTAACTATTCACTATCTAGCCAAGTAAACAATGCTACAATGAGAAGGGTGCCCGCTTCATACTTTTGGTCCAGAACCCAAAAAGAGCAAACGAGTGCCACTGGGCAAAAACCCCAAGTCCAACAGCCCCCCAAAAGCCTAAAAGCAAATCCCAAAGCACCAAAAATCCCCAAAACTCCCAAAACCCTACAGGAAATCCTAACACCCCGCCCCCCCCCCCCCCCCCCAAAAAAAAAAAAAAAGATTAAACAAAAAACAAAAAAAAAACGCCAAAACCCTTGGACAAAAAACCTAGTTGGCGTCTTGCCACTTGCGACGCCCCACCTGCTAGGCTCCGCCCTGCCCTCGGAGGAGGCAGAGGGGGTAGGCCCTGGCTGTCACCTTCTGCAAGGTTTTTGGATTTAAGTGGGCTTCAGGTTTTGAGGGTTTAAGGTCTCGGGCACAGCGTTTAGACAGTTTCGGCAAGGTGAAAGCATCAAAGCCGTCTAGCAGTCTAGCGCTTGTTCTTTGCTTTTGCTGATGATCTTCTTTTGGTGTTGCGTGCGCTCTACATTATGGTGCTTGATGTGTCTTGTGTGTGCGCGTGCTGTTGCTGTGTGGTGCGCATGTGGTTTGAGTGCTTGTGGTGTCGTTTCAACTTCCTAAACACAAAACCTTAAACCCTGTGGCAAGCCCTGAGCTTTGAACGCTTCTTCGGTTGTGGTTCGCCGTCTTGCCGGGTCGGTGGGCTCGCTTGGACGGAGTCGGGACTTCATGCTTCACTGCGTGATATCCTTCGTTGTTCGTGCTGGCTCACGGTAAACAGTGCTAACTTAGAACCCCTCTAAGCTGTAAACCTTGGGATGTTCCCGGTTATGCTAACAGTCCCTAATAGGGAGTATCACCGGGGGTTCACCGGGGGTACAGTCCCTATTGAGAACTCTTAGTAGTCATCCCAGCTTAAAACCCTAAACCCTAAACCCTAAACCCTAAACCCTAAACCCTAAACCCTAAACCCTAAACCCTAAACCCTAAACCCTAGCAACAGGAAGACTTCTGCTCGCGCCTGGCCGTCGGCTCGGGATCCTTGAGCTGTCCTCCTGAGCCAAGTACGGGGAGTGCTCCCCGCGGAATGTAGGGGCCTTAATAATTATAGTAGGGTTTGGGTTTTGGGGTTTGGGGTTTGGGGTTTACGTTCACCTGAGCGGAGATTCTATGACTGGAGCAGATGGTTTGGGTTTCGGATATTCTTGGACTTTCTTATCTTAGGATGTTTAGGGTAAAAGCCGCAAGAAGACTTCAAGCTCGGAGATGCTGCGCTTGCCTAACATCGCTAGCTCTGCCCCTCAGACCCTAAGCCACAAATCCTCCCTAAACCCAAAACCGTCCATTACATCCCTCAGCCGCCCTCTTCCGTATATATATATATATATATATTTATATATGTATATATATATATATATGTATATATGTATATATGTATATCACACACATTTACTTTCTCAACCACAAGTACCCGAAATTACATGAGCGGAGACCCCTATATCCTGTAACTACCGCATGTTTGTATACTTCCCTCTGCAGCCGCCCAGCCTGTAAAGCGTCCTCCTCCGCTAGCTGGCCCATCTCCTCTGAGGCCACCTCGCACGGGCTTGGGGTTGGGGGTTGGGGGTTTGGGGTTTGGGGTTGGGGGTTGGGGGTTCAGGGTTTAGGGTTTAGGGCTAGGGCGTAGAGTTCATGCTCCGTTTTAGGGTATTCCTGAAGCCGCCCAAGCATTATTCATTAGGGGGTGGACAACCCAAAAACCCTAAAACCCCATAAAACCCTATAAAACCTTATAAAACCCTATAAAACCCTTTGGATGGTTGAGCCCTGCAACCCCTAAAAGCTACAACGCTGTGATGTTTTGGGGTTTGGGAGGCCTCTCAGCCTCCCTGTCAGAGCGGCCAACTCGGCAGTCCCTGCCTCTTTCGGGGCTTTTCTGTTGCCACAACCGCCTAGCTGATTGCAGGGACACCCTTTCCGGCTTTCTGGTGGTATAGGGTTTAGGGTTTAGGGTTGAATTCGCTGTCTGCTCGGTTGTTGGGCTGCGCTTCTCGAGGAGGGAGGCCCCTGCTCTTCAGTTCCGATCTCTTGAGTTGGGGGAGGTGTAGGCCTCTGAGGGTGGGGCGCCTCATAGGCGATGATGCAATTGTTCTAAAGGCGCGCCACCCGAAAGTATGAGGCAAAATCTGCATACTCTGCCAGAACCTTCAACCCAAAACCCCCTATATGGATTCATTCCTTCGACCAAAACGACACCCTGCATGAGAGTCTAGCTTCATCTTCCTAAGTCTATCTACCCGCTGAGAGCTCCGCGTATCGCGGTTTCGGCAGGCACCCGCTCCTCAGGCATGGAATCAGGACAAACGGTTACCCTAAACCCTAAACCCTAAACCCTAAACCCTAAACCCCCTAAACCCTAAACCCTAAACCCCCTACACCTACACCCAACACATGGCAGCTTCGTTTCTTGAGTTCAACCTCAGTGCTCAAAGTTCTTGAGGCTTTAGCCAGACCGCAAACACGAGCATCCTCAGTTAATCTGGGTGAAGATCTGGATTCAAGTACGAGTCTACTACACAGCGGCTTAGAATCGTCTAAACAAAAGACACCTATTGTACTGGCCAAATGCTCCTACTCCCTCAACCCTCAACCCTCAACCCTCAACCCTCAACCCTCAACCCTCAACCCTCAACCCTCAACCCTCAACCCTAAACCCTAAACATGGAACCTCCGAGCTCAACGCAAATCAATTGCATTCTTCGGCAGCTTGATGGTTGAGAGCCTGGCAGCAAGTCGCCCTGGCCTGCCCAAACCCTAAACCCTAAACCCTAAACCCGAAACCCTAAACCCTTATTAAACCCTAAACCCTAACCCTAAACCCTAAACCGTATTGAGTCGAGGCCCTTTGCGTTACGTCAGGCTTAGTGCAGTCACGCAGGAGTGGACCCCAACATCTTGGACAACAGGTTTGTTTCACGAACGGCTTCCATAATGGAAATAATGTTCGGTTGTCTAGAGCCTGATATCCTGCTTTGGGTCCGGGTGCCAATAACCAAAGGAGTCTGAATCGTAAAGCAACCATTTAAAATGGTGTTCTTAAATCTTGTTGCGAGCTCTGGGGTTCCGTCCTGACAAGATCCGGACAAATCCTGATCTGCAGAGCCAACCAAAAGCAACGGACGGACCCCTTAGAGTCGATTCGTTGTTTAAGACTTCTGAAGAAGAGCCCCCTCCACCTCCCGAGATTGATCATTGCGACCCCGGCCCGGCAGTTTTATTCAGACACAGCGCCAGTGGGGGGGAGGTTTTCGCAGAAAGACCAGGTCTTGGATGGATCGCGCATATCCACAGCACTTGTCACAGACGTGGCAGCCAAAGTTACAGGTGTGAGACAAGACCTGCTGCATTGATGCTGCAGGCAGCTGCAATCTGGGCAACCGTGTTCCAAACTGCTTGGGTGTTGCGCACGTGCGAAGACTAAAGCAGCAATTCTTCTGTGAGCTCGAAAGCAAGCATTCAGGACATATACCCACCGGGACCTTGGGACCAGTCACACAATCAATGCAACTACCCAACTTGAGCAGTGATCCTCCCAATATAACCCAAACTTTCCCTAAACCCTAAACCCTAAACCCTAAACCCTAAACCCTAAACCCTAAACCCTAAATCCTCAAACAGGCAGGGAGGACAAGTCTCCCGCAGGTCTTGCGTCCTTGCAGAGCTACAATCAGCTGACATTAGGCGGCTACGCAGCCAGGTATAGCCAGGTTCACCACAGATCATACGCATGGTATTCGACGGCATGCTGGTATCAACAAAAAACAAGATGGGCTTTTACATCTGCAAGCAACGGGTCAAGAACATAGTTGTGGGTGGTACCCACAAGGAAGAACCATCGAGCTCGGGTGGAACTTCGCTCTCTCTCTCTCTCTCTCTCTCTCTCTCTCTCCCTCCCTCTCTTCCAAAAGGATCATGGTCGTCCTCGCGTAGCCCGCCGGAGTGCCGTAGCATTTGAGGCATCTGAAGAAGCTGGTCCACGCTCGGGCGATTGCGCGGGTGCACCTGGCTCGAAGATGGCTCAGTCTCAGCTTGAAGCTGCTATGACCGACGCTTTGACTGTGCAGCTAGCCCGCTCCGCAACTGAAATCTCTGCCTCACACGAGCATAGCAGCTCTGTCCGAAGCTTGACTCAGCTGCCACCGTAAAAGGCGAAACCCTCAAGCTCTCAACTTCTTGGCAGGGCAAGCAGGCCTGCAACAGCGCCGCAATGACATCAGCGAGGTCTTGACCTCGATGGGGGGACAGGGGAGTGGGGTGGGGTGCGGGGGGTCATTAGTTCATATCTGCATTTAAACCTCTTTCTTTATGCATAACCGTAATCAAGATGACTTTAACAAATTACAGTCCTAAATAACAATTGTCTTACATAATTAGGCAACAAATGGACTGTCTACATACATATATATATATATACACATACATATGAATTAATTAGCTTGCAGGGCCTTCAGGCTTCAAAGCCCTGAGCCACTTGTTGCCGCTTTCTGGGCCCCGCAAAGCAGGGACCCAAAACAGCTCCAACTCCTAACTTCGGTGATGATGGCATGTTGGGGGCCATGCAGGACTTGCAGGGTTTGTTGGTTTTAGGGAGGGCTCTAACTCTAGGTAGGGAGAAGCAGCGTAGGTCCTGGAACCCGGTCCCAAGAGCCCGGCTATAGTGGGCTGGTATTCGCGGATACTGGCCCCGCACCACTTTGTGGTACCTCAGTAGGCATGGGATGCGACTTCCTTCCATGCCTACTTCTCCGGCTCCTAGTCTCGGATTGGCCTCCACCCTCCCAAAAAACAAGCAGACAAACTAGTTTCAGAACGGCTGGAAAATGAGGGATGCCAAGGGCCTTGCAGGCCCTCCATGTCCTCTGCCCGGAACGGAGGTCGAAGAGCCACCTGGGAAGCGTGCATGCCGAATGCTTCTGCGAGAGGGGGTGCACTTATCAGTTATAACGTGAAGTTACCTGAACCTTGTGAAGTCAAGGATGGAACACCCCTAAACCCTAAACCCGAAACCCTAAACCCTAAAACGTGTGGAATTGCAGTGAGAAGCCGATGAAGACGAAGTGTCCGGCTCATGCTGGGCCTCGCGCCATTTCATAGAGAACACAGCCCAAGGACCACATGTCACTCTTGGCATCATAGGGCATGTCTCGCCACACCTGCCAGTCATCCTTTAGGGTTTAGGGTTTAGGGTTTAGGGTTTAGGGTTTAGGGTTTAGGGTTTAGGGTTTAGGGTTTAGGGTTTAGGGTTTAGGGTTTAGGGTTTAGGGCTCCATGTCGCCATGGGGAGGGAAGCTGCAACCTAGATGGTCGGATGCAGATTCTTCGGTCAAGCAGGGGCCCTCTTTCAAACCTACGAGTACTTGACGCAGCTCCTGGCATGTCGACGATATACGATCTACTTCTGCCGCTTTGCAGGTTCCTGCTAGCAGCAGATTCAGCCAGTATCCCACTCTAGTTGCGCGGCTTTTTCGCTCGCAGCTTCTACCCGGCCCCTACTGCATGGAGATGCTTTGCGCACGCAGCTTCCCATCAACGGTGTTGACGAGCTCGAAGAGTACCTTGGGCCAGCTTTGGGTTTAGGGTTTCAGCATCTTCAAGCCTCAGCACGAAAAAAAAACCCTCAACTCCCTACACCAAGCCCTACACAATCATCAACTCAATAAAACCCTACCAGCCCAAAGAAACCCTAAAGCCTAAACCCCAAAAAGAGCCATATGAGGTCGGGAAACATTTCTTCCCTGGAGCTCCTGTCCCTGCATCTCTCGACACCTTGTGGACGCCGCCAAGGGATGACTGAAGGGTTTGTGGGTTTAGGGTGTATAAGCTCGGCGCTGTTTTTCGACGCTCACACACTTTTGGGTTTCAGGTTCCGGCGTAGTCTAACACTTCCGACGACCACTCGGCACTGCAGAGTATCGTGTGAGATTACTTAATTTAAGTTTAAGAAACCGTTTTATCGCTGATGCTGCTGTGCATACAAAGCTAGGCTGCACCTCTCAAAGGGCTCCCCAAAGCACGGAGGGTTTAACGCACTGAGATGGGGTTTTAGGCTCTCTTGGGCGTTGGCTGTTGAGAAGTTTGGAGGCTCTTGTGGTTGTTTGCTGTCAGCTATATGATATATTCTCGTAGATGCCCTTAGACGCAAGCCCAACTTTCAAGCATTTGCCTCGGCTTGTCGTCTGAGGACCAAGCTTCTGCAAAGCTTGTTGTTTGGTTGTGCGTCGCATAAAGGCGTTGGGGCCCCCCAAATCACAGTTCCCAACACTCTGGCCAGGCTCGTCCCCAGGCCCTTATAGGGTCTGGGCTTGGGATCGTGCCTGGACTAGAAGGGCTAGGAGTGCTTGAAATTCGTCCAGGTGCCCCTCACATAGTGCAGAGGATCTTTAGGATGTAGGAATTAAAAGGATCTTGATCCACCTTTGGATCGTTTCAGGCGGGAAGCTCTTCAGGGAGCCAGGTGCGCATGAAGAAGATGTCTTCGCCAACACCTGCCAGATGCTTCCTCAAAGGAAACCATGGGCCCTAAAATCCGACTCACGCTACAGGATCATCTTTAGCATCAATTCATGGCATGTCCATGTCCTTTGCGAACACAAGAAGCCTTGATCCCTGCATTCGGCGCCTGCAGAGGTGATGAAGCCAAAACCTTTCAGACCATTGTAAGTCCTGTCCGGGAGGTCTGAATCAGGGTAATTACGCGTCCGTTTCGGAGCGTACAGAATTGGCGGCTGATGACTTCCTGCGTTACTTCCTTTCAGCTGTGCAGGGAGGCTAAACTTCCTAAGCAATCCCAAAATCTGAGGAGTGGTCATCGTTCAGCTGCACCAGATATCTACACAGCCAAGAAGGTACAACTCCTAAGCCCCCCCCACTACAGCTAAGAAGGTAACTCCTAAAGGCCCCCCCTCCCCCGGTCTTGATGGTGCCGGCTGCATACTGCCCCGTCGGCATCTCCGCCACTCTAGGCCTCTTGGCTGCCGGAGGGCCGAGGCCTCACTTGGGGATGGGATTTAGGACAGGGCTTTTTAAAGGCTTTTAGAATTTGTAGGGGTTTTCTTTTCGCTCGGGAGCGGAAAACCACCCTAAACTTTAAAAGCCTTATTGAGCCCTGTCCTAAATCCTAGCCTGACTTCCGGAAAAGTTTAGGGCTTAAGGCTTAGGGATGCGTAGCCACACTGCAGGGTCACACTTCAGGGTTTCAGAAACTTTCTGAAAACAGCCGGCACGGTAAGGTAAAACCAGCATAGCGTCTATGCCTCCTCCCGGCGGGGCGTGGTGTGGAAGGTGATCCGTTGGAGCACTTGACCCAGAACATTGACAATTGACTGGCAGTTCGGCCCGAAAGGCGCGCTGTAGCTGCCTTGTCGGGTTGTCATGTAGTGCTGTGAGGATCAGATCGCTGATGCAGAAATTCTGGCACGCTCTGGACTTGACGATGGCGATGTCAGCGAATTGCTGAGCGTGTTGTTCAGTCAATTCAGCAGTAGCAACTGCTTCACGCGGAGGATTGCCCCAGTCTGCTCAATTCCTCCATGAGCTTGCGTTGCGAACTGTCATGCTCTTGAGAAGATGGGACGCAGGTCGTTGCCAAAGAGAGCGCTCCTGCCGGGACTATGGATGGCAATGTTGCCCTAGTACTAGGCCCCTCATATGGCCCTTCAGGACACGGGCTGCGCAGCTGTAGCCGATCCTGCGGCCCTGCGCGACTTGCAGGTTTTTTTTGAAGGCCCACAGCCCCACACAGCTTAGGTGATGGAAGAAAGACCTGGTGGAGGATGGGGCGCGGCCAGTCGGCGGGGAGGATACCTACTCGGATATGGGTGATGACCTCGTGGCGGCTGGAGGCTGGGGGGGGGGCGGGGGGGGCGGGGGTGCTGCTGTTGCCTGCCTCAGCTCCAAGAGAGGGCGGCCAATGGTTGCAAAAAAACTGAGAACGGGAAATACGGGTTGGCAGATTCAACATGGAGGTTCGGACTGGAGGCAAAAATCACATCCACTTTCGAGCAGACGTAGAAGATTGTTGCTGAGCTCTACGACTACGCTGAGCGACGTCTTGGGTTGATCAGCCACCCCGACACCCCCCCCCCCCCCCCGGTGCCAACGAACAAGCAAGCTTCCTGCATGCGTGTTGCCCGCCATTGGCCACATCTCTGCTGCAGGCGGTGCTGCCTTGGACGCCGTGGAACTCGTGCTTCTTTGGGTGGGAACCAGGTTTTGCTTTTTCTGCAGGACGTACACCCCAAACATCCCCAAAACCTATAGGATGATGTAGCTGGGCTTGGGATCTGGACATGCTGGACCTCAAAAAAGTACAAGTGTCCAACGTGCGATCCAGGGAGGTCAACTATATTGAGCTACAAGCCCATTGCACCCTTGAAGACCCCAACCCTCCACCCTCCACCCTCAACCCTCAACCCTGAACATGGCAGAACTTGGGTTTGCCCCCACCTGCAGATGGCGGCGCAGACACAAACCGAACGACAAAACGAAACAAGCCGTGCAAAGGCACTTTGGCAGCACGGGGGCCAAAACAAAAACCCTATTTAGGTCAAAGAAAAAGGGGCAAGAACGCACACCCGGAAAACGCAGTCTGTAAATATACATACAGTGTGGCTCTTGTTCCTCGGAACTCCCTTCTTTTCGACGAATGACTGGAACTGAAGCGCGAATGGGTTAAGGGAGGAGGTGCGAACCGGTTGCTGTGCTAGGTTGTCTGATACTAAAGACTCGAGAATACCAACACCGGGCTTGAGAAGCCAGGAGTCTTTGGGGCGAACTTGTGTCGCCTGTACTCGCGCTGAAAGGCTCGCTGTCGGCTGTTGGTCGACAGATGCAATCGGCGTCACCTCCAGCCGGTGCGCAGGATGGGTAAGGAAGAGGTAGCAAGCCTAAGCCCAAAGCCCCCCAACCGACCCCGAAACCCTTCTTGAGCGCTGTAAAGTTATATACGATAGGGGCCTGAATAATTAGAACAGGGTTTTGCGGGTGATTACAGTATAATTACAAAGGGACCATAAGTTAAGGGAATACTGTTAGCAACCCTAAACCCTAAACCCTAAACCCTAAACCCTAAACCCTAAACCCTAAACCCTAAACCAGGTTCAGCCCCTAAAGTTTACGCCTTAAGCCCCAAAGCTCGCCAAGTCGCGTTCAAGGCCTGCAGCCGCCCATCTCGCGCTTGCACCGGGGTGAAGCTCACGATCGAGCCCGGCCCAGGGTGGCTCATGCCGTTCAGCTCATTCCGGCCTTGGGTTCTTCTCAAAGAGTTTTTGAGAGCTCTTATTATTGGCTTCTTGTTGTTGTTTGTCTGTGGTTCGTGTTTTTATCTGCTTAACATGTGTCTTGTCTTCATCTCTGTGCGCACCTGAGATTCTAAAATTCATGCCACCTGTCCCAATTCTCCGCCTACAGCCACCCCAAGTCCTGAGGCGCAGACCGAACTTGATGTCCTGCGGGTATCCGGATGCGTTCAAGAAGCCGTAGCCGTTCTTGTCGCTGTACTGCTTCACTACACCAATCCTTGGCGGCATCCACCCGAACCGACCTACGAAAGAAAGCGCACCTGTCGGCGCCGCAGGAGTGGCGCCGCGAGCATGGGGGGATATGAGGCTTCGGCAACAGAACATACTTGGAAAGCTTTGAAGACTTCAGTCCACTAAGCTTACTTCAGCGTCTCCACAACCGTGGTTTGGCGGAATAAGTTTAAGTTGGCCCTTTCCGCCCTCTGAAAAAATCTCATAGTAGATCCTTTCAGGCCCTATGAATAAGGGCAATCATGCAACATCATTACTTGAGGAAGCGCGCCTTCGGAAGGTGATTGTTCGCCAAGGCTCATGGAATTCAGCGTCGTCGAAGTGGCCACAGCAGGCCTCGGGACTGTTGTCTTGAGGGCCCATGCCGACAACTCGGGGATAGCAGTGGAATAAGAGCGCTCCACCGCTCCATCCCTGCCGCTCTTGTTTCCCTCTCTTTCTCTTTCTTCCGTGCTTCGTTCCTTATAGGGAGCGCCCCCGCAGAGGGGTCTCTCTTGCTCTCTCCTCCCTTTTCAAGGCCAGGGATGGGTCAGCTCCACACGCGACATCACATCATTTATGCAAAAATTGTGCATGATATCGACTAAAGGGAATATAAGGGTCTGCCGGCGCCAGCAGATGCTTTCAAGCACTTGCTTCTTGCACATCGCACCCCCTCTGACTCTTGCTGCAAAAGCCTATAGACGACCCGAAGCTGCCACACAAAACCACGAAACCCTTCGAACCCCGACTCTTGCATCCATTCCTTGAAGCCCAGAACCCTAAAGCCCTAAAGCCCTCGACAAGAAGGCCTGGCAAAGAAACCGAAAAAATGCCACATCTCTCCTAAACCCGATGGGTCACCTTCCCGCCGTGCGGCTGTGCTGGAGGCTGTACAGCCGCAACCATGCCAGGTATGCCGGGCATTGCCGCTACCATGCCAGCAGGTCCCATCTTGGCATACTCTCTGGCTTTTTTTTGGGTATTACACTGCACAGGTTTCAGGGTTAGAGCTTTGCTTTAGGGTGTTGGGCTTCAATTCTTCAGGCTTGTGGGCCTAACGACGCTTGACAGACAAAGCTTCAAAGCCTCCGTCTCCTGAATCGCTCTAAGCTTCAGAGCTTTCTTGTTGCGAACCTTGCAGGACAGTAACGAAGTGTACTAAGGGAAGAAGGCTTCGAAAGGGGCGGAGGCTTGAAATGAAGTGGAAGTTCTGTGCAGTCACAGAGGGCCCCTACACCCTGCAACATCAACGCTTATAAGCCCTAAACCCCAAGGTCAAAGCTAGGGTCGACCTTTCTTTCTGCCCCGGGCTTCTGAGTCCTGCAATCCTGGGTTCCCAGTTTTTGAGGCCCCCCCACCCCCCCCCCCCCCCCCCCCCCCCCCCCCCCCCAAATACACTCCGAACCCATGTTGATGCATTCTAGAAGCTCCCAAACCCTAACTAAAAGTCCAGGACTTCAAAGCTAGTCACCCTAAACCCTAAACCCTAAACGCTAAACCCTAAACCCTAAACCCTAAACCCTAAACCATGTCTAGAGGCTGGGGAGGGCTTGACCGGCGCTGCTGTGAAGCCAGGGCTCTTGGCCCCAAGCCCTGGCTTTCTTTGCTTCATCGAAGGCTTCGCAAGCAAATTCAGCTGACAATTTTAGGGTTTAGGGTTTAGGGTTTAGGGTTTATAGAAGAGTTTAAGAAGTCACAATCTCGGCAATAGTCTACTTAGCTTCCGTGTTAAGAGGTCTGGGTTGGAGTTGGGATCAGGCTTCTTGCTGAAGGCTTGCAATGACTTCGAAGGATACACTGGGTAGCCCTGGACCGCTGCAGGTACGCCGGCAGGAGTTCAACGAGCAGTGGGCTGCGTGGATTCTGCACACTACAATTTCCACAGCAGCAATGCCATGTGCGCGTGCATGAGCAGCCCCACACTCCCCCCCTCCCCCCCCAACCCTAAACCCTGTTTGCATCCAGGCCTCGTAACCCTAAACCCTAAACCCTAAACCCTGAACCCTAAACCCTAAAGCCCTAAACCCCCGAAAACAGAGCGAAGCTGACGGCCAAGGGTCTCTCAGCGATCTTACCACTCTGGAACAGAACACGCGTTGCGTTCAGCTTGCCGTCGGGTCTGCTAACCTGAGCTGAGCAGACACATGACATATACTTATACTAACCGTCCTGAATAGGGATTATAGTAACTACCCCTGTTATAATCCCTATATTTAAGGGAGCTGTTTGTATCGGGGGGAACGTCCCAACATGTCAACCTGCAAGCTTTCCAGCGGGGGGGGGGGGGAACAAAAACCGTCCATGCATGCAGTTGAGGCTCAAACTCCACGACGACCTTGACACCTGAGGGCGTGACTGGCCCACTCGTCTTTAGTAGATGAGACCCTCAGCCAAAAATCTTGGCTTTCAAATCCTAGGCACTGAACCCTAAACTCTTCTTGCTCGAGGACTCCACTGAAATCAGTTCAGGAATCCCGAACCCTTTCAGTTGCCGAGTTATCCGCAATTACCATCTTCGTCTGGGAACTACTGAAGCCAGGGTGGTGGAGTCAAATTGCATGTGCGCCTTCCTGCCAAGTTCCAGACGAAACCCATAACATTCCTCATCCGAGCCACCGGCAAGCTGAACGTCAGGTTGTAGACTATCGAGTGCTGCCAGGGCATTTTTGTCAAAGCGAACATCGTCCGTCAGCGAACTGGATGTGATGAAACCTCGCTTCGGACTTTGGAAATTCGCTTGAGGTCCCTTTTTAAGGTCTGTATGTCTTGCTCGCCTAGCAAGCTCCCCCTGGATGGTCTTTTTCTTCGCTCTTGATCCCGACTCAGGCTGTTGGGAAAGGATCGTTCTCGTAAGGTTGGGTGCTGCCCTAGTCTCGAAACATCGAAGCTGCAGCAAAGGACAAGCTCCTGTCCCTAGCCACGAAGCGTTGTAGAGGAATTCATCGCGACAACGCTGAACCACAAGCCCCAAACCACGTAATGTTACTTCGCACGGAGGAACTGAAAACTTGAAAAGGAGGCTGTCTGTATATTGCGCTTTTGGGGTGTTTGTGTGGCCGAAGGGTCTTTGTATTGCGCATACCTGGTGGTTTGAGTGTCAGAGAGCCCTGCTGAGCCTAAACAGGTCCTTGACTCTAGGCCAATAACCGTATTACCAATGGGAATCCCTTCTGAAATGGCAACCTATGGCTTGTCTGAACATAAGCAGCTAGTAGGGCAGCCTCCCCTCAAAAAAAAGCATGCCCCCCCACCCAAAACACTCAGATCTGCGGGAGTGCAGAGGCGACTGGGGCCGGGACCCCAGCCGTGTCTTTCCTGCAGGAAGAGAAGAGGTCTTCAAGGAGTGCTGCGTTAAGTTGCTGGTTTCCATTGCGAGTCTCGAGTTAAACGGTTTAGCCAATTGGCCAGCCCAAGCATGAATAAACCCTAAACCCTAAACCCTAAACCCTAAACCCTAAACCCGAAACCCTAAACCCTACAAGAGTAAATTTACGCCAAGATCTGCCCGAGGCCTGTACCCAACATCACGGGACAACTTGTGAAGAACTCGTGGGTAAGGGTCAAGGGGACTAAATTGCTAAAGTGTAGGGATTTGGCGTGCTATAGTGTACAGGGAACCCGTGTGGAGTTCTAGGACATTTTAAGCTTTTGTGGCTGTCGGGATTGAGGCTTCGAGGCCCAGCTGTAACCACAGACTTTGACTTTGGGCTCTACCGCATGCTCTGAGGGCCGCAGACTTTGGGTCTGGAGATTGCGGTTTAGGTTTATGAGTTTTTTGTAGTTTAGACCCATTATGAATCGAATTTGGGCTTTACGGTGGCTTGGGCCCCCTTCGCGACCAAGAACTTCTGACTCTGCGAAACCAAGCTTCGCTGTAAGACTTGATCATGCCCGGTACTGGCGAGCCTTCCACCTCCGCTCATCAACTGCAAAGCAGATTTCGAAGCAAGCCCTGACTTTAAGACGAGGGTTCAGCCCTAAACCCCAAACCATAAACCCCAAACCCTTTTTTGCAACGAGCTTGGCTATGCTCCCACCCCAAACCCTAAACCCTAAACCCCAAACCCTAAACCCTAAACCCTAAACCCCAGGGTTGTCGGGAAACGATGCAAGGGATTTTTTAGAATCATCGGGGCCAGCCACGTAAGGGATCGCGACGGCAGTCGCTTTGAACCGACCGTCCGGGGCTTCCTGCGCCTCGAAGTAGACGGCTCCTGCAGCTCTTCAGCAATTCAGTATCGCTGCTGCTACTGCTACTACGACGACGACGACGACGACGACGACGACGACGACTACTACTACTACTACTACTACTACTGTTGTGACTGCTGCTCTTCGAATGCTAATGCTACTCTTGCGTGCTATTTACTGTTGCTTTTTATGTTTCTGTTGCTGCTACTTAGGTGAGGCCCCCCCATTCAGCAACAGCGGCTTAACCTGAAGGGCGCTTTGACTAAAGAAAGGTCCTCCGCAAACTGCAGAATGGGGGGGTCCTAAAGGGGAATGAAACGTGGATGAAACACCCTCTGCTACAGCAAGCTTCATGCTGGGGTTGCCAAAATCAGTCTAACAGGAAGTCTCAAGTGCAAGGACTCAAGCGTACGGCAAAACTGCCAGCCAAACACGCGCTTGGATCTCTGAGCCGGCCACTACCGGTGAGAAACTTGCCCTGAACTTCTTGCGCGTCACTTGGCCTGAGAGTGCTGGGCTACAGGGCACTTGCGCTCACGCTGATGCCAGTAGAAGCCGTCATGCGCAATCAAGCCTCTAGAACACATGCACCCATAAATCGTAAAATCCATGTATCTGTGAACATAGATAGACATATGTGCATGCTGGCTTCGACCGCCCCGGAACGCCGAATCGCACGTATGTGCAGCGTTCATGAAAGTGGAACATTTTGAACCTCTGCCAACTAGCAACAAACATGATCTATCGGAAAGTGTCCTGTTTGGAAGCGAGGCTCCCCGGAAATTGGGCCAGGGTTGGTTATTGTGCCTTTCCTGACAGACAGACAGACAGACGCACGCACGCAACCACGCAGAGCTTGCACATGGTCTTGGAGTTTCAGTGAACTGATGATTTCTTACGCACCACACAGAAACACAAAAACACAACCAAACACACACACACACACACACACAAAAAAAAACATAATAAATAAAATCAGGAATTCCATGCCTTAACCCACAGCCATAAACCCAAGTACTCGCGGATCGAAATGGCTAGTGTTCTAAGCTGGTGCAGCTTTTTAGTTCACTTTTGTTTCGCAAGTTCGGGTCAGCCGCGGGAAATGCGTACATGCTTCCTCATGCTGCATTGTCGTGGAATGTGTCTTAGAGTAGGGGAAGGTGTGTTTTCTGTTTCAGAACGACTCGTGCCCTGATTCTTGCTCAGGGATTTTGATTCGGGGGGGAGGTGTTGCAATGTGTACAAATGTATGTATACAGTCACCGCCATTCTCGAAACACATACTGCGCCGGGCCGATAGTTCGACCCATCGACTTCTCGGAGTCCGTACTCCTGTGCCCACCGCCTCTTGCTCATAGACTCCTGACACAAGTGAACCTGGGGGGACACCTCCGGAACTTCTATAGTACTATATTTTCAAAATGGGGTAATATTTTTTCCGCTGCAGGCGCAGTGAAAACGCGACTTCTCGGTAATCCGCGACTCCGCGCAAGTATGCACCGTCTGCATGTTGTCCAACATGTGCTGTGAGTCGAAACTTTCGGCCCGGGGGTGTAGTGACATTGATTGCTACATACGTATGCATATGCGTATACACGCACAGAAGTTGAGAATAGTCACGTCTATCTCAGGCTACAGCAGGGGAGTTGGCAAAACGCAGTCTCGCAGCAGCTCCATCCTCGAGAACATGACGTCCGCTGCCAGCGCGCTGCTCTGAATGAAGCCGAAGCCCTTGGCGCCATTCCAGGACTTCACCTCGGCTGGCGCTGCATTCTGCTTGCCATCAAGTCCTGCAAGTACTGCAGCCACAAAAACATAAGGGTAATAAGAACAGTCGTATTTTGGGCAGGACTATTGAACTTTTACTCTGAGCTTTTCAACCCTCCGAAACATGTATAAAGAGGATCCTCCTCAGCTAGAATTAGGGGAACAAGACAACACGTCCCAAGGGCCCCTGACCAAAAACCAAAACCACAATAAGGGGAAAATGGCAAGACCATAGCGCCTGAAGCCTCATCAAGCCCTGTATGAAGCCTCATCAAGCCCTGTAACGGACTTCCCTAAACCCTATAAGCAACCCTAAACCCTAAACCCTAAACCCTAAACCCTAAACCCCAAGGGCCGACCAAGCCACAGTCCCGGACAGGCCTTCCAGACAATCGACTAGTTGCTCAGGGTTTGTGGTTGCTTCTGCCTACTGACTTCTAAGTAAGGTTTAGGGTTTCGGGTTTTAGGGTTTAGGGTTTAGAAGCAGCCTCTAAATCTCTTGATGGGTAGAGGCATTCGCTCTCCGCGTTCTCGACCCCCCACCCTCCCCCCCCCCCCTCCCCCAACGGTTTCCTCCGACCCCGCATGGGACCGTTAATCTTCAACACACCATGAACCACAGACCGAACCACAGGGGGAGGGGGAACGGGGAAACCCTAAACCCAAAACCTAAGCCCGAAACCCACCATAAGCCGCACGGCGGGCCGGATACCATTGGGGTTGGGGGGGGGCGAGTGCTGAGGTGTATATATATATATATATATGTAAGCCCCTCATCCCCTACGAACAACAAATAGGTCTGGGTATGTTTTGGCCACCCGTCTAGCCACTGCTCCACAGACCTACTACGTGGACAGTTCCTTCTGGGGATCAAGTCCCTCACCCTCGGCCAAGCCGTCTGGGGATGCAGGGTTTAAGGTTTAGGGCTTCGACACTGGTTCTCGCTGCTTCATATAGGGTTTAGGGTTTAGGGTTCGGCGCAGCAGGTTTTGCCAAAGTCCTTCGGTTTTCTCAGATTTTTTTTGAGGTTGGAGATTCTGGCTCCACCGCCAACGTGATGGTGGGACCAGGGGTGTTGGGATTTTGCTCTTGCCTTGGCTGATAAGCTTTAGGGTTTGGGAAACATGGGCCAGACAGAGCTGCATATCTCTTCTTTGCAAACAGCAGAAACGACAGGTCTTGCAATCCTAGACTTGCAGCTGATGACGTTGCCACGCTTGGTGACCCCGAAGTCGCGAGCAGAATCCCCCAAGGACTTGAACCCGACAAGCCCATCCCATGTTGGTCCTGTGCCACCTGGTGCGGATGGCATTCCTTGGATCTGCTTGTGGAACCTACAACAGCACTAGGACTTAGCTTAGGGTTTACGGCAGTGAAGAGACCACCCTGATACCCATAGCAAAACCCAAAGCCCTGCTCAGCCCATCACGAGCTCCGCATTTTTAGACGAGGGGCGCATGGCCATCGAAGGGCTCACACTGGGAACAGCCATTCCATTCCAGGTGCCAGGATGGTAGGACGGCAATGTAATTATGCTCTTTTGCGCCTACGTGTGTGCAGTGCTGTGCCACTGATTCGGGTGCATGCTTCGGATGTTGACTGCTCGTGCTCGTGCTGGCTTGCAGTTGGGAGACTGCTTCGAAAATAATTTTGGCACCTGCGCAGGCAGCGATCACGTCCCCGAGGTGTGGCTCCGCCACACAAACCAGCCTGAAATGCAGAACCCGAAGCCTGAACCCCAAACCCTAAAACCCCTGAAAACCCTGAAAACCCTAAGTCCCTCAACCCTTGTTGCTTTTGGTCCTTTGTGGCGGCCGGTTGCAAGCACTTGGGCCTCCGGGGAGGCATAGTAGGGGGTGCCCGTCTGCGTCATGCACAAGCCTCTCTTGGCGACTTTGGAGACCTCGGACGGACTTTGGGAGATATTAGATGTGTTTGCGGTTGGTTCATGTTCGGGGCTTCTAGGGTCAAGAAGGGGTCAACATGTTCTTGTTTCTTTAACGGGGTGTATCGTCCCTAAACCCTAAACCCTAAACCCTAAACCCTAAACGTGGGGTTTATAGGGTTTAAGAGGGCTTGTGAGCGGATTTCGGGTTTAGGGTTTGGAGTGGGCCTCGAGTCGAGCACTGGCACCCGGCGTCGACAACACAGCTACCAAGCCTTCTCGAGATCGACTACAGCCACCATATGCCACATATACTTATACTTCTATATATCTATATGTATGTATGTATATATATATTTATTTATTTATTTGTTTATTATTATTATCATGATTATTATTATGTATTATTATTATTGTTGTTATATTATATTATATATACATGCTCAGCGGCGCCGGGGGAGTCCTTTCAAACACCTTCGCTGCATGCATCACGCACGCCTATACAGAAGAAGCTAGGATTGTGGGGGGACTCACTGGCTCTCCATTCCGCACTTCAGAGCGTTCTTGGGAGCTGCCATCTGCATCTCCACAAACTCGATTTGGAGATTGGGGAATCTGGTCCGCATCTGAACCAAGAGCGCAATGATGCTGAATGATGGGATCTGTGACAGGAACATCCGGAAGTAACCGCACACCGCCTGACAATCGCCGTCAGACTGAGGATCTACAAGTAGCGTTCTGTAGATGCACGCGCATGCTTCAGCCAAAGCATGCAGAACTGCCTCACTGGCTACTGTCCTGCCAAAAAGGTCCGGCACAAGCGTCTGTGTCACCTCGAGAATCTCGTCATCCATCCTTCCCTCATCAAACGCTCGCACGCGGAACTCGTGCGCCTCCACCCTTTCCAGCGGGTTCTCGGCCTGTATCTCGAAACCCACACAGTCTGCCAACCGCCGATTGGAAACCTCCTTCAAGCAACTTGACACAAAGCTCCAGCTTGGCGTTGCAAATCCAAGCTTCTCGAGGATGTACTTGGTCGCAGACATGCGTAGGTCACCCATGCCGATGTGCTGGAGTGGCGGAAGGTCTTCGTCATTGAGCGCACCGACCGCCGGAAACAGTCGATTAAATCCCTGTACAGCGAAAGACAGGCGCTCCTTCAAGTGAAGCTCCAAGCCGGCATCACTCTCGCTTCGGTGGCCCATCTTGTAGCTCTCCGCGAGCCTGGCCAAGCCCTTCAGGGAGAACTCATTCACCCTGGCTGCCGCTGCGTCCAGGATGGCCTTTCTGAGGTCCAGATTGCTCACCAGCAATGTGTCGTACGCCCAAGAGCAACGCCAAAGAGCTAGCGGCTTCAGCTCGGCAATGCCCTGAACGATTTGAGGCGCGGCAAGGTCCATGAATTCCTTGTCCCTGTACTGGACCATGGCGAAACCCCACACAATTTGCGTCAAGCCTTGCGCAGAGAAGTTGGCCCGATTGTGCTCGAAACACCTGGCCACCTTTTCACACAGGTCGGCTTGCCTCATTGCAAGTGCTCCGAAAGCCCACGTCACGTGGGCCAGTTGCGAGGCAGACAGCTTTTCAGCTCTTTTGGCCACCTTCGAACCAATTTCGGACATCAAGCCGACACGTTGCTGCCCGGTGGCCGCAAAGGCCCAGGTCCTTACTTCTCCAAAACTCCAAGGGGAAAAAGAAGGCTAAACTTTAATATTCCTACTAAATCAGGAAGCCCAAACCCCAAACCCCAAACCCCAAACCCCAAACCCCAAACCCCAAACCCCAAACCCTAAACCCTAAACCCTAAACCCTAAACCCAACTAAAGGCGAAGGTAAGGGTCAGCATGGTAATCTCCGCGGCCTTGAAGCTGCCGATCTGTGGCTCTGCATGCTCTGCGATGTATCGCATCACCGAGTCCTAGACTCCCCCTAGAACCTTAATTAAAATGCTATTTTTAATATTTTTAATATCCTCTTGGGTTTTCTATGAACCAATTTTTTTAAAAGAGTTCCCAAGGGGGAGATAGAGTCTGTGCCCATCATGTTCTTCGCGAAGGCCCAGGCTAGGTTGGCGAGCTCTGCCGGCTGCATACTGGCTGAGCTCCGCTGCACTTGCCTAGGTTGGTCCCCCCTTAGAACCCCCCGAGAAACAGATGTTCCTGAAGAGGACACTCTTAAACCCCAAAAAGGGAAAATATACTGAGACTCCTGAAGGACACCCTCTTAAACCCCAAAAATAGGGACAATCTACTGCAAAATATCCCTTATAAGGGCCTGCCGAGTTGCTGGGAGATGGCTGAGTAGAGGCCTCGGTCCTGGATTCTGAGGTTGGCGTAGGCCCAGGCGAGGTGCGCCAGCTCAGGGTTGCTGAAGGCCCTAATTTGGCTCATCGACTCGCCCATGATCGCGCTCATGAGCTGATCATGCTTGAAGCTCAGGGTCGAGAAGGCCCAGGAGACCATGGACATCTGGGTGGGCTCAAAGCTCTCGCGCTTCTTGAGCAAGGCCTGGGCAATGGCCAGTAGGAGCGCTTCCTCGCGGCGGCCCCACTGGGCCATGGCCCAAGACATGTTTGCCAGGCTCTGCGCAGTGAAGGTGTCGATTTTGTCGATGCACTCTCGAACCAGGCACTCTGCAAGCTGCGCGTTCCAGAGCCCGCACTTCGCAAAAGCCCAGGCGGTGTTGGAAAGCTCCTCATGGTTGAAGCCCCTGCTCTTGTTCACGACTCCTGCAGCCACAACCGACATGAGGGAGTCATTGCGGACAGAGGCCCCTGCAAAGCCCCAGGCCATGCGAGAAAGGCAGCGCGGTGGTAGCTCCTCAGTCCTATGGGTGGCTTTGTCCGCTGTCACCTGCAGAATCTTCGCAACAACTGGCTGTTGGCCTGGTGCAACGGGACTTCTTCCCATTTGGTAGGCGAGCTCCGCTAGCTGCTCGGCCGGAATGGATCTTAGTCTTCCCTCCTCGCCGTCACTTCTAGACGCTGCCTGCAAGGCTTGGCTGAGATCATCCACAAGGTTCGGCAGGATCTGCACACCATCGTCATCCGAAAGGTTCGCAATCATCATGACGGCCTTTGCTATGTCGTGAGCCTTGCAAGCCTCACGAATGACGTCTTCACGATCACCGGGTGGAGGTGTCGCCATAGAGACCGGGCCTGTAGCAAGAAGATGCTGCCACGGGCCCTGTGGAGGCCCAACACCACCTTGTGGACGGCTGGCGCCTGGAAAACCTTCTTGCGGAAGTCGACGGTCCCTCCTCTGGTTGTAAGTCGGAAATGCACCAGGAGCACTACCTGGATAACAGGCTCCGGAACTGCCTTGACTCTCATGTCGTTCATGTCGGATGTCTTGGCCGGATCTTGATGGAGGAGGCGGGGGCGGGGGCACGAACGATGAGTTGGAACCTCGTGAAGCAAGGTGAGGCTCACCTGCATGTTCACGATGCGGTCGTCGGTGCTGATTGTGACGACTGCGCTCGGGCATGGAGCCACCACTGTCAGCACGGTCCAACCACTCGAAATCTGCGCCTTGACCATCCCCATAACCTCGTCGTTCCCCATCAAAATTCCTACCCATCAATTCGTCTTCTCCTCGCCTCTGGCGATTTCTGCCTTTGCCACGAGCCTTGGATGCACCTCCACTTCCCCCACTTCGCTCGGAGACATTGTCAAAGCCGGTCGACATCCGGATCCGCACTAGTGCAACGACTGCATACAAAAACCTAGCTGCCTAGCCTTGCTTCGCATGACGATGGGAAGCTCTAGCGCTGAAATGCACACTTTTGCAGTGTATGCCTCACGTGTTAGGACATTGTTCCTTGAGCCGCAGGCCATTCGATGGGTTTACGGCTCCTGCTCTTCCTATTCATGCTGCGAGGCTCCAGCCTGGTTCTGCTCAAGGGTAGGACAGCCAGAAAGGTGGAAGCAAGAGGTTTCATGGCTAAATTCCTGAGTCAGCCTGGCGCCGGACGTTGAAGTCCCCCAGCTTTGCAATGAGCCTCAATGCGGGCCATGAGCCCTAAAACCCTTGGGCTCTCTGGGCTCAGGATCTAGCAAAATACTGGAGCAGTTCTCCTACCCATGGTGGCTGTAATATATAAGGGTAAATAAATAAATAAATATATATATATATATATATATATATATACATATATAAAGAAAAAAGCAAGTATACAAAAACACACATATATATATATATGTATATATATATATATGCATATTTATATGTTTCTCGTTCTTTAGTGGGGAGCTTCTTCGGGAACCTACATTGCTGAATTCCAGAGGTGCCAGTTCGCAAACCCCTAAACCCTTTTGCAGTGAAGGCCCGAAGGCGCTGTCAGTGTGAATGCCTCCCAATTCACTGACCTGGGGGCCCTTCCGCCCTCTCCACCTCCCCCCTGAGCTTAGGGTTTCAGGGCTCTTGGGGTTTTGGGATTAGGGCAATTCGGGTTTGACAAATGAAAAGGAAATACGAAACCAACCCTGAGCACCATCCGGGAGGTACCTCTGCCTCCGTGAAAGATCGCAATCTTTGAAGCCCTTAACCCCAACCCTCAAGCCTAGATTACCGTCCTTTGGCAAAAACCCGAAACCCTCAACCCCTAAACTCATTGTTTCTAAAGACATCATATACCCTGAAACTCTCCGCCCACCTTGAGTGGTCGGGGGGCGTCATACAGGTATAGGAGGCTCAAACCCTAAACCCTCACGCCTTAAACCCTTTGAACCCCCCAAAGCCCTCAAATCCTGATCTCTTCGTTTGCATCTTTGCGTGTTGGCTTTGGGGTTCATGTTGGGATGTTCCCCCTCATACTAACTGTCCTTCATAGGGATTATGTATGATAATCCCTATCAAGGACTGTCAGAATAAGGGGGAACATCCCAAGGCTCATGCATCATGGGACCCTAAACCCTCAACATCCCTAAACCCTAAACCCTAAACCCTAAACCCTAAACCCTAAACCCTAAACCTGGTGGAGCTACTGAGGTGTCGGCCCATCCCGCGAATGGCTGAGGAAGACATTGGCACCTTCAGGTCGCCGACCGAGTGAGTTTAGGGTTTAGGGTTTAGGGTCTAGGGTCTCGGGTCTCGGGTCTAGGGTCTAGGGTTTAGGGTTTAGGGTTTAGGGTCTAGGGTCTAGGGTTCAGGGTTTAGGGTCTAGGGTCTAGGGTTTAGGGTTTCGGCTCTCACGCTAGCACAAGCCGGCAAGGCTCCGGGTTCCGGGTTGGGGTTGAGGGTTTTCTCCCGCATAGCTGGCCGAACACCAAAGCAGGGTTTAGACGGTCTCGTCAAGGTTGAGGGTTTCGGGTTTCGGGTTGAGGCTTTGTTTGTTGGCTCCCACCTCGCTGAACACATGTCCACAACGCAAGGATTTGCAGGGCATATGGCATATTGGGTTCGGTGACACGTTCGGGATTCCAGGGAGCCGTCTGTCGACTCACAGTTCAGGCCATTTGATCCCCATCAACAAGAGAGTAGGCCTACTACATGCTGAAAGGGATTCCGGTAGAGGGCCCATGTAGGAAGACCAGCTCTTTGGATTCCTTGCTTTAATCGGTTCTTGGTTAGGGGGTTTCCAGGATTTAGGGCCGAGAGACCTAAACCCCTAAGCCCTAATATTGCTTTGAATGCAATCTGACGGTTTCGGACGGTGCACCTGCAGCGAGTCCCATGAAGGTTTACTACAAGCCCTTTCAAACCTAAACTCTTTTATATAGCAAGTCCCATGCAGCTTTCCTAAACCCTTTTAAACCTAAACCCTTTTATATAAACCCAAACCTTATGTAACCCACGAGTTCTCTATGCAGGCTTGAAAGCTTAGGAAGGCCCTGGGCTTAGGACCCCCACGCATCCCTGAACCCTCTTGTTGAACCCTGACCCCGAAACCCCAACCCTAAACCCTAAACCCTGAACCCTAAACCCTAAACCCTAAACCCTCAGGCCGTGACATTTCAAATCGCGATGGAGGATGCGCAAGTCATGCAGCGCCTGGAGTCAGGTTTTCGGGCCTATAGGGTTCTTCTCCGCACGTTGAGCGGTTTCAGGCAGGAAGTTGTCTGATTTCTTCCTTGGTTCCTTATAGAGACTATAGAGAGAAGAGGCTCCGCATGATAACGGTAACCGCGCAAGAAGTGAATAGGGAACCTGCATTGCAGTTTCGCGATTGGAGCGCCTTCAAGCCCTGGCACATGCCATCCAAGTAGCGCCAAACATCAGCCTCCCGGATCAGGGATTAATCAGCCCCATGAAGGGCCCTTTTGAGGGGCTTATAGGGGCTAGAATAGCCCATCCTTCCTGGCGCATACCTTCTTGAGGAGCCTGGGAGGATGCCATCCTATTCTACAGGATTCGCGGCAAAGTCAGCCTCTCTGAGATACGCCCGCTCTTGCTTACAGCGGTTGATCTGCTGCAGCAGGTCCCCAGCCTGAAGAGAGTTGCAGATCACTCTGGGTTTAGGGTTTAGGGTTTAGGGTTTAGGACAGTTTAGGCATCTCTATGCAACGCATGTAGCGGCCCAGCAAGCACGTAGAGCGGCCAGGTGGCATCGGCACATTCCTGAACGATGCAGAGGCACCGGGTTTTGTCGTCCCAGAAAGCCTGGCAACGAGGGGCTATTAACATTTTTCCTCACCAATCTTATTCTTGCTCTTTCTCTTGGAAACCCCTGCTGAAAAGCCCGAAACCCTAACCATCCCTGAGCCGGACTGAAAACTTTCGGGCACGATACTCGCACTTCAGCTTCGATTGCGGTTCGCTCACCTGTCACCCGGGATCCACCCCAACAGCTGGCAAGTGGTTTCTGAAGCTTCGCTTTGGAGAGACTCTCCACAGCAGACCGCCATGGCACAACTCCCACGAGCTCCGGCACTTCACGGGGGCAAAACGTCTTCTTATCTTCTCCAATAACCAAGGGAAAACAAAAGAAGGTTAAAACTGTATGATTCCTACGAAATGAAAAAAAGCCCAAAAACTCAAAGTTCAACTATTGGCCAAGTAAGTCTTCAATGCAACAAAACTAGGTTGGCCCCCTAAAGCCCTCTGAAAAATATTCCTGAATATGATCCTCTTAAACCCAAAATACGGAAAATATAAAATGTCCCAAGGGCCTACCTAGAAAAGATGTTCGGAGCGTCAGCTTGTGCCTCTTTGTACGCCACGACATTCTCGTGGCACACCGATGCCAGGAGTCGGACCTTCATTCAAAGAAAGGGTCTAGGGTCTAGGGTCTAGGGTCTAGGGTCTAGGGTCTAGGGTTTAGGGTTTAGGGTTTAGGGTTTAGGGTTTAGGGTTTAGGGTTTAGGGTTTAGGGTTTAGGCTTCAGGGTTTAGGGGTCTCAACATTGGGCAGCTGATTCTCACTCTGCCTTGTACAGGGCACACTACAGCAGGCTTCATACGGGAGCTGGGTGCGGCGAAGCTGGTCGGCCTCGTTCAAGGCATTCTGCTTCTCCTGCGCATGTGCGGTGAAAACTTCAGCCCCCCCGCTTTAGGGTTTAGGGTTTAGGGAAGCAAATGCCATTCACACCACCTGCAATACAATGAGCGCCTTAACGTTCATGAGTTCAGAGAGCAATGGCCTCTTGGCTCCATCCAAAGTCCCTGTTGTGCTTCTGAATACAAGCATGGTTGGACGACTAGTGCATTTCACACAAGCTGCCAGTATCAATGCTTCTGGTACGTCAAACCACGTTATACAAAAAAGGGCATGCAGTTATTCCCGTATCCCGCCCCGCCTGTGTTTTTGTCCTATCTGAAAGTGCTTTTTAGCGAGTCTGACGTGTAGGTGGTCCCCAAACTATTCTTACGGGAGAACCCACTAGTTTGGAGAAGGGGACTCTGAGAGAACCAGCTTGTTGACAAATGCTACTGGGCCCTATCCCCAACCGATATCGAAGGGTACCCTTGTTTGAAAGCTTCGATATTTCATGACCGCACGAAGTTTGCAAACACGACCTTGTTTTAACATCTGTCCACTAACCATACAGTCCATTAGCCCAATCCTCACATGCGCGCGTGCGTGTGTGCGCGCTTGCACGTGCGCATGCCCACTTGCAATGCGGGCCCGTGAAGATTAAGTTTTGTGTACCGAAAGGGTATGCTAGTGTCTTGCCTTCGCCTCTCAAGAAAACCATTCCTCGTAGTGTCAGCTTCGGCTTAGCCTGTTTCTCGAGCAGCCTGCATCAGCCAGGCCCTCCATTGAGACAACCCAGTAAGCTGACAGTAGATCCTAGATGCTTGTGAAGCTAAACCCTAAACATCCCGTACTGTACACCCTTCTACTGGCGAACCCCTGATTTGGCTGAATGTCATCCTTGAAATGCTGTGGAACACTTGGGTGAGGGTAAAGCCCTTTGGAATCGCATGAACCCTCACGGGGCACCTTAAAACCTTAAATCCTATGCCCGAGCCTTACAGGGTTCAGGGTTTATCCTGAACCCGAAAGCCTAAGCCCTATTTATATTCAGCTCAGAGCCCAGAAAGCCACGAGATTTTGCTTTCCTGCAGCTAAAAGGGTCCGACTGGGCTCCTTCTTTTCTGTTGCAGGGCCCCAACCGCTGGAGAGCTGGTGGGTTAAGGTTCATAGCGTCTTGGGTGCATTAGACGCTTGATGGCTTGTGGTCGTTTAGGGGTTTAGGTTCCTGGCGGGTTCCTTGTCAGTGCCCATTCCTGAAGATGCCCGGCGCTCTACTACAGCTGCACGGGTTCGGTCAGCAGGCTCGGATGGAAAACAATGAGACTGTGACCCCGACTAGTAAGGGGCAGCAGCAGAAGATGTCAATGGCGCTGAGGCGTTTGACTAAGAGTCAGCTGCCGCAGGCTCAAGGAAACAAAGATGCGCCTTCCCCAATAATAGTGCACACAGAAGTCGTAACAGACACGCCAAAAGTCTTCAAGAACTTCTACACAGTACCGGTTCAAGATCAGATGTTCTCGCGGCCTGGATCAACTCCAAGCTAAGAGGCGGGCGAGCGCTGTCCCGAGCTAAGTCCGAATTCGCGAAACCTCGTTTTGAAGGCTCCTTCCTGTCCTGTTAAGAAACACGCAGCGACATTCATCGTTCATGCTGCTTTCTCGCGCAAGGGTCCCCTGAGTTCAGGTCCACACATTCCTGTGCCAACCCTGTAAGGCTCTAAGGTGTTTGGATGAGTTCGTGTCGGCTTGGAAGCGTGGAAGCCGGCCGCATCTTCTGCATGGCCCCACTAACTTCCAAGAAACTGGGGACCTTTGGAATGCAGATTCAAACAGTAAAAAGTTCCCACTGCTGTGTCATCGTGGCAAGGCCACGGGGAAGGGGGGGGGGTTGAGGGTATGTCTCGATAGACACTGCTCTCTACTTACCATCCTTAGGATCAGCTCGACTCGGGAACCAGAGTCTTGGATTTTTTGAATTGAGAGACGCGCTAGTGGCGTCTACTGTCGGAGTAGCCTGGCTGAAACGGCAGTCAGATTTGTCCACGCGGCCAGTACAACCTGCTCAGATGCTTTCTGGTATTGTGGCACTTCAGAAGTTGACGGTTGCATACCCCCCAGTATGGTCTAGGCTACCCGCCCCCTCGTCGTGGTCTCAGCATATGAGGGCTATAGGCTAGGCTAAGGGTTTGGGGTTTAGGTTTTAGGGTGTTAGGGTTCAGCTTTGAGGCTTTATGGGGTCCTGCTGCCCGTGGTGTGGTGGTGGGGCGCTGTTTTTACGGCTTGGGGTACCTTCAAACCAGACCGGCCCTCGCCGCCACACCCGCACACCCCCCCTCCCGCACACAAAAAGAAAAAAAAAGTATCAGATGCTGACAATACATTCCTAAACCCTAAGCCCTAAATCAAAACAATATACGCATATATGAATATATATATATATATATATATAATATAATATTTAAAATGTTAATATATATATATATATATGGTGCAGTGTTGCCCAGCCCCAAGGTAAGGTATCCCCTCCCTCAGTTTTCAACGTTTTGGGGTTTTTGCGTAGGGTTTTGAAGGGTTTCAAGGGTTATAAATGTTTGTTTAGGGTTGCAAGTTTTAGGGTGTTTTTTTGGGGTAGGGCTGAGGGTCTAGGTTTAGGGTGTTTAGGCTTTGCATGAGGGTATTGGGTTTAGGTCCCGGAAAAGGGGGGGGGGGGTGTGATACCATGGGGGGCGGGGGGGGGGGGGGGGCGGGGGGGAGGGGGGGTGGGACTACCGACACAGCGACACGGAAGCATGTATATATATATATATACACACACACACATATTATTTAAATTTGAAATATATGTTTGAATTATATATTTGTATTTTCTTTCGATGAAGGGTACCCCTAAACCCTGCCCTGGCTGCAAAGACCAGGCCTGCTGGAAGGCAGCCAGCAGCCACCGGTGCAGCCACATCAACCCACGGCTGAAGTCTCTGCGCCTGGGCAAGGGAGGGGCAGAGGTTTTAGGGTCACAGGCTTTGGCTTATTCAGGGTTCAAGGGGGCTTGTCTGGCCTTCCGTAAACTGTTTAAGGCTTTAGTTGAAGGGCTTGGGGCTCTAAGGGTGGTCAACAAGGCCCTTGTGCCCGCTGTCCGGCTCGCTCGGCCAACAACACGCAAGCAAACGTCAGGCCACCAGTACTAGAGTCGAAATCGTCGTCGTCGTAGAAGTAGAAGTAGAAGTAGAAATAGAAGTAGAACTAGAAGAAGAGGTAGAAGTAGAAGTAGAAGTAGAAGTAGAAGTCGAAGTAGAAGTAGAAGTAGAAGTAGAAGTAGAAGTAGAAGAAGAGGTAGAAGCAGAAGTTAGAAGTAGAAGTAGGAGTAGGAGTAGTAGTAGTAGTAGTAGTAGTAGTCGTCGTCGTCGTAGTAGTAGTAGTAGTGGTGGTAGTGGTAGTGGTGGTAGTAGTAGTAGTCGTCGTCGTAAGTAGTAGTAGTAGTAGTAGCAGTAGTAGTAGTAGTAGTAGTAGTAGTAGTAGTAGTAGTAGTAGTAGTAGTAGTAGTAGTAGTAGTAGTAGTAGTAGTAGTAGTAGTAGTAGTATAGTAGTAGTAGTAGTAGTAGTAGTAGTAGTAGTAGTAGTAGTAGTAGTAGTAGTAGTAGTAGTAGTAGTAGTATAGTAGTAGTAGTAGTAGTAGTAGTAGTAGTAGTAGTAGTAGTAGTAGTAGTAGTAGTAGTAGTAGTAGTAGTAGTAGTAGTAGTAGTAGTAGTAGTAGTAGTAGTAGTAGTAGTAGTAGTAGTGTAGTAGTAGTAGTAGTAGTAGTAGTAGTAGTAGTAGTAGTAGTAGTAGTAGTAGTAGTAGTAGTGGTAGTGGTAGTGGTAGTGGTAGTGGTAGTGGTAGTGGTAGTGGTAGTGGTAGTGGTAGTGGTAGTGGTGGTGGTAGTGGTAGTGGTAGTGGTAGTGGTAGTGGTGGTGGTAGTAGTAGTAGTAGTAGCAGCAGCAGCAGTAGTAGTAGTAGTAGTACTAGTAGTAGTAGTAGTAGTAGTAGTAGTAGTAGTAGTAGTAGTAGTAGTAGTAGTAGTAGTAGTAGTAGTAGTAGTAGTAGTAGTAGTAGTAGTAGTAGTACGGGGAGATGGGGTGTCCTGCCCGCGCCGTTTCGGGAAGCCTTGGGCAAACCTCCTTTGGAGTGCGCAGGCTCGTACTTTCCGGGCTGTGTGCGTTCCCGGACTCGCACCAATGCACGCGGCGAACGCTGGAATTGGATGTTGAACATGTGTCCGTGTTGTTATCTTGAAGCTGCTCTTCCCCTTAGAACGGTGGTTTTTCAGCGTTTCATGGCTGCAAGTGCTGTCGGTGCAAAAACGCATTTTTTTTCACACGTCGCCCACTCAGCCCTGCTGTGCTTCACATGGGGGGGGGGGGGGGGGGGGGCAATCGTGTGAGCCTTGTGTTTCACATGGGGGGGGCTGCGCCCCCCCCCAACCCCCCCGCTTTTTTAAGGCACGCAAAGAGTACTTCAGAGCCTAAGAAACTTGTTGAAACAGAAACGGAACCCTAAACCCTAAACCCTGAACCCTAAACCCTAAACCCTAAAAGCCGTAAAAATCCTAAAAACCCGAAATACCCTAAAAACCCAAAAAGCCTAAAAGCCCTAAACCCTAAACGCTAAAAACACAAAAACCCTAAACCCTAAATCCTAAACCCTAAACCCTGAACGCTAAACCCTAAAAACCCCAAAAACCGGGAAAAACCCCCTAAAGGGCTTCCAAAACCCAAAATCTGAAGTCATCTCCCATGACACAGAGTGTGTAGTAGTAGTAGTAGTAGTAGTAGTAGTAGTAGTAGTAGTAGTAGTAGTAGTAGTAGTAGTAGTAGTAGTAGTAGTAGTAGTAGTAGTAGTAGTAGTAGTAGTAGTAGTAGTAGTAGTAGTAGTAGTAGTAGTAGTAGTAGTAGTAGTAGTAGTAGTAGTAGTAGTAGTAGTAGTAGTAGTAGTAGTAGTAGTAGTAGTAGTAGTAGTAGTAGTAGTAGTAGTAGTATAGTAGTAGTAGTAGTAGTAGTAGTAGTAGTAGTAGTAGTAGTAGTAGTAGTAGTAAGTAGTAGTAAGTAGTAGTAAGTAGTAGTAAGTAATAGTAAGTAGTAGTAAGTAGTAGTAAGTAGTAGTAAGTAGTAGTAAGTAGTAGTAAGTAGTAGTAAGTAGTAGTAAGTAGTAGTAAGTAGTAGTAAGTAGTAGTAGTAGTAAGTAGTAGTAGTAGTAGTAGTAGTAGTAGTAGTAGTAGTAGTAGTAGTAGTAGTAGTAGTAGTAGTAGTAGTAGTAGTAGTAGTAGTAGTAGTAGTAGTAGTAGTAGTAGTAGTAGTAGTAGTAGTAGTAGTAGTAGTAGTAAGTAGTAGTAGTAGTAGTAGTAGTAGTAGTAGTAGTAGTAGTAGTAGTAGTAGTAGTAGTAGTAGTAGTAGTAGTAGTAGTATAGTAGTAGTAGTAGTAGTAGTAGTAGTAGTAGTAGTAGTAGTAGTAGTAGTAGTAGTAGTAGTAGTAGTAGGAGTAGAATAAGTAGGAGGAGGAGGAGGAGGAGGAGGGGAGGAGGAGGAAGAGGAGTACCCGCAGAAGCATGCCCCGCGCTCCAGTCGAAGGAATTAAGGGGTTTGGGAGGGAAGTCGTGTAAGCAGAATGTGGCTGCAAGGAACGACGCCCAAGCCACCCTTCAGTCAGGAGCATCCCAGAACCTCTTCTGAGTCTTGTCAAACTAAGGCGCAGTGACTTGTTCGCGTTTGGACGGGCCGAGCTTACGCTCACGCCGCTAACATCGAACGTGAGGTCGCAAACCAGGTGGTAATCCTTCGTCAGCCGGGAGAAAAACACCATCAAGTGCCAAAGCCCCAAGCCCGGACGTCATGCTACAAAAGTGACCCACATTCATCTTGGTTGTGCTTGAAACCCTTTGAAAACTATTTGTGAAAACAAGTTCCCTTATAAGGAAACCCAGTCATTTTCTGAGCTCGGCTCCGCTTCGGCCATGGCATTCTTGTCAAAGAGGTTGTGTTCCATGCCGATGACCCGTCCGTCCCGTTGCAGCTGCAGGCTTCCATCAACTGCGAAGGGGCTTAGGGGATTTTGGGGCTTCAGGGCCTGCTCATGGTTTCTGCGCAGGAAACTAAGAGCAAAAGAGGGCCATTTTTGGGCAAAAATCGTCTTAGAGTTACGGGACTGTGTAACCCCAAGAGCAGAGAGAACCAAACCGCAACGGCAGCACTGGCAGCATAGTACTCATGCTTTTTGGACAACACACACAAGCTCGAGCCCGCGGTGCCTGTGATCAGGGCGGCAATCCGCGTTCCAAGTATGAAACGAGAGGAAGTTCTGCAATGAGGCACTCCGCTGATGCATTTCTTAGGTCGTCACGGCTGAGGGATGCAGTCCCTACTAAACACAAGAAGCCCCAAGCCAAGCTGAACAGATTCCGCACGTACCCGAACACAAGAGTGTCTCTAGTCGGATGCAGGGGGCTTGATCCAAGGGGAGGGCGCCACCTGCCTGAACATTTTTGGAGCCTGCATCCTCAACCATTTCAGCAAAGACTCGGGTATCTCGGCCAGCGACACGAAGTAGCCTGCACTGCCCCCCAACTGCCCCAACTCTATTGAACCATGCTTCATAACGCAACATATTGCCAACGCCGCAGCCCGGACACGTACAGCCGCCGTGCTTGGTGCTAGAACCCTGAACCCTAAACCCTTCTTGGGGTATGCAAGTTCTGGCAAGGCAGATGCCAGACGCGTTCCCAGCTCGACTATAAGCCCTAAACAGCCCAAACCCTAAACCATGACTCCGCAACTGCCCAGTATGTGGGAGTTTACGAAACTAAGGGACCCCTAAAACAGACCCCCAAATAGTAGGCCCCTTATAATATAAGGACCTACCCCCAAAAATTCCTAAACCCCCGATGTCACTACATTTCCAACAACGGCGGAGAAGCCGCGACCGCCCGGGGGCCCACTGGACAAGTCTGGACGTGCAGGGCAAACACCTTGGCACACAAAGTTGGGAAATTCGGGTTTAGAGATCTTAGGGCCTGTAGGGTTTAGGGGTTTAGGGTCTAGGGCTAGGGATCTTAGGGCTTGTAGGGTTTCGGGTCTGTCCAGCAGACCCTCCAGCAGGGTCGAAACTTCAGAGTCAAGCCAGAAAAAGCAGGAGAAAGTAAGCGCCGAGGTTCTCGACTCTTCCATGCTGGCACCCCCAAAAGCCGTAAACACCAGCCTCAAAGCCCGAAAAACCCCATGAAAGCAAGTTCAGGGCATCCCAGACACCAAGCAAAATGCTTGTGCACTGGTCGCCGCAGACCTTAGACAGGCCGAACGCGAGTGTTAGGGTTAATTTTGGGGGGTTTAGGGTTTAGGGTTTAGGGTTTAGGGTTCAGGGTTTAGGGGACCTATAGTGGCCGTGTACTTCCCCAAAGCACGGACTCGCCTTCCCTCACTCTGAGCTACGTGGTATCAAGGGCCCCAAGCCCCGTAAGGCCCAGAAAATGTGGAGGGTTGATGATCCGCGTTGTGGCCATTGTTGAAGGATTGAAGGGTCCCTAGAGAAGGGCCTATGAAATCGATCAAGCGCATGATCGCCACTATGAAATTCAACCAGGAGGACCTCCAGCTGGTTAGGGTGATTTCAGTCGGCGTAAAGCAGAAAGTGAGCCCTAAACCCCGTTTTGCATCCAGGCCTCTAAGAGGTTAGCTGGGGAAGTTGTTGAGAACTATCTTGCGCCCTAAGCCCCTAAACTATTTCTGGGACCCTGTGGAGCTTACAAGAAACGATTGCCATGACCATTTAGGTGGGCCCCGACAACCCACTGAACATATTCATAGATAAGATGCTCTTACACACATACTATACAAGGGTTAACTGCCCAAAAAAACATGCCTGAATAGGAGCCTACCAGGCCAAACCCTAAACCTAAGCCCATTTGGAACACTTGCCTATCGATTCCAACCGCCGCTTGGGTTTTGGCTTCAGGTTTAGGCTTTAGGGTTTAGGGGTTGTTTTGCCACTTACCAAGCGGAAGGGTAAGAGCTTCGGGACGTTAGAGGTGCGCTTGAGACAAACTTGCCGTCGGGAAGACATCTGTCCTTGCTCACCAAACGAGTTTGGGGTTAAGGGTTTGCGATTTTGCGGTGTTTAGGGCGGCTTTTGGGGCTTGTTTTGCCCTCGTGTGTTTGCAGCCTTGGGGCGCTTCTCCTGAACCTCCCCTAGACCGTGTAGACTCTACAGGCCCTAAAACCCTCACACAGGGGGATAGAACCAAGAAATCATCTAAACTGAACGGGGCACGGATTCCACGACCAGCTCTGCCCAATATCCAGACGCCAGCCGCCGCATGCGTACGGCTACCAGGGGCGACTCCGGCGCCATCATGCCTGCATTTGGGCTTTGCTATAGCTGGGGCTTCTGCCTGCCTTACAAACATAGAAACACTTGAGGTACTTACGTTGCCACCCGCATGGCAAGGAAAGAGGGCGGGCAAGACCAACAACTCACTTGCACAAAACGATGTACAACCAGAAGCAGACGTCACTCTATCGCACACAGACTCTAGCTTCAACCTCCGAGTCTTTTCGTTGAGGATGCGCCATGTGGGATTGAAAAGGGTTTGGAGTTTGGGCTTGGGACTTGCATCCCAGATACGATGCATCCAATGTAGAGGACGGTCAGGCTTCTCCACGCGAGTCGCCTGACAGCACCGGTCAACGAACCTACGGGGGATCAGCAGGTCTGCATCCCCTCCATGAACTTGCCGACACACCCACCGAAGCTAGGTGTTTAGGGTTTAGGGTTTAGGGTATTTGCGCCTGACGCCCGTGATGCAAGAGTCTCACTGATGAAGTGGCAGTGAAGACTTCAAGCTCTTCCAGAAGGAGGTCTTTGAGCTGCTCGCACACTGGAGTCCTGAATTGTTCTCAGCGCAGTCCTAGCACTCATGGTGAATAGATCCTTTGCAACTCGGTTCTGCATGGAATCGCAAGGCTCTCAACGCCATAAACTAAAGCTACACGGCCTAACGGCTAACATTATTGTATGCGTTAGGCTTCCGACGCCCTGACCTTCGAAAGATCCGTGTGACCTAATACCTCCTAATACCTCCGAATACGACCTTTGAAATTTTCTAGGAGAACACAACGCAACTGACTTCAGAACAGCCTGACCCACCGAGTGTCCGTGAAAGCAGATCCCTCATGCGACCACCGGTAGCTCTGAGGGATCTCCAATCCTTTGAGGCAGGGGCTTCACTGGGCTTCGGCTTGATTGGGGCTTTGGAGTGTAGGGCTCTTCGGGGATTGTTGTAACGGAGGACCTTCCTGTTTTGGGGGGGCGGGATGGATCCTTTTTTTGCGGCGGGCCCCATTGACAGGTGTACCCTTTTTTCTGGTTCCGTGTCGCCGTGTCAGCAATGCTATCCCCTCGCCACCCTCCCCCCCTCCCCCACACCCCACCTAGTTTAGGTTTCTGACGAGGGTTGCCGTGGCACCTTTAGCAGGTGTTGTGACGCTCAATTGACAGCTTGGCGGCAGATCACCAAACAATATCCACATCTTTACAGGCGGCACTGAAAGTCGAAACCACCCATACCCAACACATCTAAACCCCAATGAACGCACCGGTTCAAGCGAAGGCGAAGAAAACATTACCAAATCCGAGTTCCCCAATGAACGCTGTGGGCGGAGTGCCTTTTAGACAGCACCAAAGCATGGTACAAACTCAATTTCCCGAAGGAACGCTAGGGTCAACCTGGTCCTGGCAAAGCAGCTGAAATCCAGTGTTCGTTTGGAATCCCCAATGAACGCAAGGTGATTACAACAATTCGCTTGCCATCTTCGGCATACAGCACCACCAGGCTGTTCGTCCCTACATGTGTCGCACCCCTTGGTTTCATGCGTATGCTACGGGCTCGTCTTCAAGAGAGGTGCCAGCACTAGCTGTGCACAGGGGGTTGAGAAGCATTACAACAGCGGTTGCAAGCGGTGCTTGAACAACCAAACTGCAAGGCCACAATTGGTTTTTGTGTGTTTTTGTAAGGCTTTCAACATCATATGTTTGGGCGTGTGGGAGCCTGCCTGATACGTTGTGTTTAACATCTCAAAGTTCCCAAGTGACCGCATCTCGGGGTGCCTTGTTGGAGCCGATTTGGGATTCATGACGTTTAGGGTCATCTCCGAGTGACCGTGCCTTTGGGGGGGGATCTTTGTGGAGCCTTTCTGAAGCCTCCGTGAGTGGGATCCTTTTGGAGCCTCCGTGAAGCGTTGTTTGGATTCTGAAAGCCTTTTGGGGAGCCTTGTTGGAGCCGATTTGGGCTTGGGCTTTAGGGTGAATATAAGTTCCCAAGTGACCGTGCCTTTGGGGGGAATCTCTTTGGAGCTTGGGAAGTTTGGACAACCCCAGACGAACGACGGCACCGTTGCGGCAATGACCGAACACACCTAGATGCAGGTACAGGGTAGTCATCTTCCAAGCCCCTGGCTAACCGAGCGCACCGAGGCGCACGTACCGAGCGTTCGAAGCCCCGGGTGGTTGTGAGTAGACCGAACTGCACGTACTGAGGTTTTCTGGCGCAGGTAGATCGATATACTTGTTGCTCCGTGTGACCGATGCCCCAATTACCGGAGATGCGTTTTGAAGGCATACGCCCATTTTGGGGTCCGCCTGGCCCTTCCACGATACATATCCATGATGCCTGAACAAACACAGACCTGTCTGGCAAAGGTCTTTTAGAGTAAGGAGTGCGTAAGGCGCGCGTAAGGCGCGCGTAAGCTGCGCGTAAGCTGCGCGTAAGCTGCAGCGGTCTCCGTAAACCAAGGCAAGCACAGCCGCATTGGTATTTAGAGCTTAGAGGAAAGCTTGAATCGTGGTGTTCTGTTCCAGTGCGCCAGCCGACGAATTCTCCCGCGTTTGTCAAAATAGCTGAGTCCCTTGTGCTATGATGGAAGTATCGTTCTCTCGCGTTTCTCATGAGAACTGCGTCAGTTGTGCCAAACTTGCGCAGTGTGCTGGCCCTTTTTTCAGGACAGTTGAATCCATTGTGTCTTGAACTCCTTGATCCAGCACGTTCTCCCACGTGCGCCTGATAGCTGAGTCGCCTGTGCTATAGAGGATTTCGCTCGACCCAGTGTGTTCTCCCGCGCTTGTCAAGCTAACTGATGAGTCGTTCGTGCTATGAATCAAGGTTCTGCTCGACACATCGTGTTCTCCTATGGTTGCCATGATAGCTGAGTCGCCTGTGCTATATGTTCAGCTGAATCGCTTGTGACATATATTAGCGGACTCTGCTCGACCAGCGTATTCTCCCGCATTTGTCAGGATAGCTGTTTCCCTTGTACTATGACTGAAGATTCTGTTTGACCCAAAGCGTTCTCCCGTGATCGTCATGAAAGCTGAGGCGCCCGTCTATACATTGGGACTTTGCTCGATCCAGAGAGTTCTCCTGCGTTTGTGATGATATCTGAGTCGCTTGTGCATTTTAGAAGATTCTGCTCGATCCGACGCATTCTCTCGCGTTTGTCAAGATAGCTGAGTCCCTTGTGCTATGATTGAAGATTCTGCTTGACCCAGCGCATTCTCCCGCGTCTGTCATGATAGCTGAGTCACCTGTCCTACGTGTTAGGGCCCTGCTCGATCCAGTGCGTTCTCTCGCGTTCCTCATGATAACTGCGTCACGTGTGCCATATTTGCGCAGCGTGCTACATTACAAACCCGCTTACCCCCAATGAACGCTGGACGGTAACGCCTTCCATGTTTTTTTCTCCCCAATGATTTGCATCAAAAGCAATGACCGGTTTAGACTTCCACGGTTCACAGTAAAGGCTCAAGATACACAAAGAGGGGCTTTGTTGGTGCAGGGATGTTCCGGCTAAACCCTAAACCCTTATGAACCCTAAGCTCGAGGCTTCCAAGCGTCTTCCAGTGAGCGTGGGTCGTACTTCAAAGGAGGTGCTCGCTGGGCTTCGCCATCAGCAACCTTTGAGTTGCAGTGCATCGATAAGCGGCATCATTCTTGCAACCCCAGAAGCACTCAAGCCCCCAAAGCCTGAACCGCCTTGAACAAGATTCTGAGGACACCAGAAGGCAAGGGTGAACAGCTCGTAGCGGGGTGCTTCCTAGGCTCCAGGCTTCCGAGCTTCCTCAAATAGCCCTGGTTTATGAAGCCACATTCACGCCCATGAAGCCCTACTTGCTAGAAGGCGAATGTGCAACCCTTTTGCAGCAGGTGCCACCTCTTTACCCTAAACACTTAAATCCTACAGAAATCCGATCTACCCTACACACCCTATAAGCCCCGTGAACCCACAAGCCCTACAAACCCTACGTGCAAACCCTATACACAAGCCCCCGTGAAAAGCCCAAAACCCAAAACCCAAAACCCTAAACCATCCCATCCTGCCACGTAAAACTCTGAACCCGGCGGCCTTCTGCTGGCGCTCCCGCATGGCATAACGAGCAGCCCTCATGTGGAAGGGCAGAAGCATGTAACTACCTTCAGCTTCTCTAAGGCTGGCCTTTCTTCCTGCTGGCAACTCCTAAAGATTACCCTCTTAAACCTCATTGTTTTTTTCAAGAAAATGCTAGATACATCCAAGTGCCTACTCAGTTGACTTCTTGACTTTACCCATCACTCTCAAGGTCCCTTTCATCATCGCCGGTGCTGCTTTGCTTGTACCCAATCTTGCGTGCAACCAATCCATTCACAACTTGAGCCTGGCAGCCGAACATCGCAGCTCGCGTGCTGAGAAAAGCAGGGTTTGGGGTTTTTGGGCCGTGGGGCTCGTTGAAGTCGGGCGCGGTTTTGGGAGAAGCCCTAGCACATGCTTCGCGTCATGGAGCCTCCCACGAGAGTAGGGTTGCCCAGTAAAAGGGTGGGCGATCGATTGGCCCAACCCTCTGGTGTTCACCAGGGCTCTTGCCTCTTCGTCTTCGGGACTCTGGAGTCTCAAAGCCATCCTCCATTCCTCAACCCTCTCCTTGTCGGACAGCGATGGAAGCTTCACCTTCTTGAGGGCGTAAACCTCCAGAACGAGTTTTACGTAGCTTCCTCCCGAGGATCAGGGTCTGCTGAAAGTGCTTTACGATTTCTCACAAGGGTTCAGGGGACGTCAAGCCCCCGCTGCCTTCACGATCATGTATCATATCGGCAGGCTGTGAACAAGGGCCCTAGACCCTAAACCCTAAACCCTAAACCCTAAACCCTAAACCAGCAGGCTACAAGAACATCATGGGCACAAGCCGTGAGCAGAAGCCTCATTGTCTGCCAGTCGCAAGACCTGGCGCCGGCATGACGTTTGTGGCTTTTTGGGGTTGATATAGGCATTTGGGGATTACAGGTTTTTGGGCGTTTGGGGTTCATAGGTTTTTTCGGGTTGTAGTAGGTTTTTTGATGCCACCCGTCCAGCCACACACTATACGGGTTTACGGGTTAGGGTTTATAGGGCTTGGGGTCCTGGTCTCTCGCTTCTCTCAACGTCCGTTGGCCATGGTATCGCAACCTGATCTTCTCGACTTGATGGTACCGCCCTCATAGTCAACAGAGCTCGAGCCTGCCACAGTTGGGCCCGCAGATCGTGCTGGCATGCCAAAAGGCGCCAGCAGTCACACAGATCGAGTGTGTTGGGGGACGCCACCCTGTGACTGTGTCGCCCTCGAGCTCTACTTTCGTTGGCGCTCCGTTCGAGCCTCGCACGTGCTGGTCGATGCGGGTTCCCGTGCACGTCCAACAACTTCGGTGTCGGGCGTGCGCTCAGCGGCCTCCTGTCAAATTGACACTCCCCGACTCTCCGATTCGGGAAGACTCCTGGCCGCCTCTGCAGGCTTGGGTCCTTCAGCTCTTTCTGCTCGAGCGGGAATCCGTGGACTTGCCGCCAGTGAGAAAGCGATGTTCACTTGAAGGATGCAGGTGCAGCGTTTAGGCCTGTTCTAGACCTTCATATGTGTGCAAAATCATGTATATGCTGACACGAATTTGGTTTTTCATTCTGGTGGAAGAAAATGTGCAGCGAAGGGTTCTTGTTCTCAGGGAAGGTTTGGGGGGGGACAGGAGGGCCAATGACTTGAGGGCCCCCCTGGATGCTCATTCGGACACGCGCAAACTTGCGGAAAACCCATATTGCAGCATCATGGTTATACCTGCCTTCTTTCATACTTCTTGCCTGCAGCGATTGCCTAGGCTCCTGCATAGGCCTAGTGAAGTAC